TTGTTCAGTGACAGACTTTGAGGTTCTGTTGTGGCTTTGCCTCCCGTATGAAGGCATTTAGGCTATATGAATGTGTACTTTGACTATAAAGTGTATCATATGGAGCAACATCTGCTATGTCACATCTCTTATGTTTCAGTTATTCCAAACAGAAGACGGAGAGGACGTTTGCCTCGCAGATGTGCATTGACAGCCGGTAATTTGATGGATGCTGCATGTGTGCTTAAATCTGCCTGTCGGTCCCGAAGAATAAAGACGTTCTCTATGAACAACTCTCACCCCCACTGAGCACACTGATATCAGCATTACTCCAGCTCTTTGCAGAGATTAACACATCTTCGAGTAGACAAATCAAGCTGAAAAACATGTAATTTTAGAGCAGAAGCAAAAAGATGATTAGGTGATTAATCAATGAAATCATTTTGGTACAGTCATTTGCCAAACATTGACTTGTTTAAATGCAAAAAAAAAGCTTCTGTTCTTTGTCAGTTCTAATGTATTTAGTTTTAGTCAAAGGATTAGCAGGTAAATTTAGGAAGTCACTTATAAATTAATGAACTTGCGCCATTTAGATATTGAATCTTAACATATTTCTTGTTAGGCTTTAAAATGACTAACTTGATTAATATATAAACTCCAGCATTGCACTGAAGACAGCGCTGATACGATAAGCGTGCAGACTGACGCAGAGCTCAAGTGCACCTGGAATGCTGCCCATAATTTGCTCTCAAACTTGTCTCAAACAGAAGCATCTTGACTAGCGTGAAATGCGGATTATAAAGGCACATCTACTATGTCAGTGGAGTGTTCACTGATGCGCATTTTAATGCGCACACACAGACACGTACACGCACACACGCACACACACACACATCACCCACCCCCTTCACTCTTCAGTTTCTTACTGGCTAGCCAGGAGGGTTAAAAGCAAGGATGGTCTTCTGAGAGATGAAAGGTGATCTAGGTGAATGCTCCAAATTCGATTTTCATGGTCTGCTGAGATACCGGCACTTTTAGGTAGCTGTGCAAGGAGATCACGCAATGTACATTCACATATGCACATGAACATACTGTACATCGTACTGTGTCAGTCGCACACACAAACTATTGATGGGGTCATTTGTCAGCTCTTATGGGTGAAATTAAACACATCCAGAGACGAGCTGTGCTCCTGCAACAGTGGGTCTGTGCTGTGTATGGACACACAGCAGCTGGTTTTGGTGCTTAGCTTTCAGCCATCACTCTGACAAGGCAAGTAACACACTGACTGTGAAAACATGTAAAATGTGAACACGTGACTGAAGACATGGACCAACACCTAACAGTGCTATTGGATAAACTATGGCCTGCAATACCTACATGTACTGTTTATTACCACATATACAAGACAATTCACAAAATACTGAATTCAAAAGGCAGCTACAGAGAAACATGGCATCCACCTCAATATTCAGGACAACAGAACAGCCCACATCTGTGTTGCGGAGGCAGTAAATTGAGCTGAGTCCCAGGCCTGTAATTTCACAATGTTCCACTGTGCATAAACATTCTCTGAATGATCTTCATTCCAGGCATTATCACTCCTCACGGGATTACCAGCTATGAGGATGGATATATTAGACTGTAAAAAGGATGTGAATGAAATTCAGTCCACCCCAGGACCAGACCTTTTTTGCCCTTTGCAATAAATAACATAATCTTGTTTATTCATTCATTAGGTTTGTGTTGGAGTCACACCTCTCTTCCCTCCTCTGTGCGGTAATCCCTTCATTAGTGATTACCGCTACAGTTACTGTGCCAGCCTTGCCTTGATGGATCTTCTCATCCTGCTCTCAACCCCCCGTCAGCTCCACCCATCACCCCGTTTCTTTGTCTTTTCCCATCTTGCTCTTTCTACTTTAGTCACATAGCCATAGTTGGCAGGTAGTGGGCAGGCTGTGTTCAGTCTTGTCAGGGTAAATTATGGATCAGGTGGCCGGTGAGCTTTCAGTTGTACCAGCTATGTGCCGGTGCCAAAAACACTGCAGGCATTCCCTGGCACATGCACACACGCCTCCCACCTCCAACCCCAAAATACATAAACACGGTTATCGAAGCAACTGAGCCCCTCATCTCCAGCCACTACTGACCCTCATATGCTTTCATCTAACATTACTTATTCACTGCACGCATCCACATACACATATGCACATGCTCAACTTTATGAATAAACAAAACTGAACATCAGATTTATCCAGGCATGCACAACAGACACACAAACACACACATATGGTGTGCAGCCTCCACCTCCTCTATTCTGGAGGAGCTCCAACATGCCCCCGAATCTCAGTACAAGGTATTTTCTGGCACAGAAAACACGTCATCAGTGCACTGGCTTTTTGCAATTAGATGAAAGCGCACACACTCACAAAGACACACAGCTCCTCCCCACCTTCAAATCAACTCATTCACAGATGAGACACACGCTTAATCTAAACAGCAGGGCTGCCAGGAAGACAAAACAGGTACAGAGAAGGGTTGCAGTTTAATTTGATACCTGGGCATTCACAAAGCTTAACTAACAACCATTACTGTTTGCATAAGTCTCTTTAATCAGCTTTGGAGATGTTGGTTTTCTCTCAGTGTAGCCTGATAACAATGCAATTACCATTTTAATATGATATTTTGCCACAGCAGATGAATTGTTTTTAAAAAGGCCCAGGGAAAAGGGAGAAGAGACGCAGGAAAATAGACAGTGAGGGAGGATGGATGCAGCGAGGAGTCAGAGGGGGAGGGAGCGGCCAGTGGCCCGTACGCGGCAGGGTGTGATTTTAACACGTGGAGCTCACAGTCTCATTACAGGCGTCGGTCTGAGGAGCGCAGGGGTCAGACCTGATCCAAACCCACACTGACAAGTGCAAATGGGATTCTGCTGTCTGTCTCAACAGCCTCCAAACACACACAGACACACACACCCTTTCCCCAAAAACCAACCCCCTCATCTCAAACACACACACTGAAGCATCACCGCCTATACATGAGCTCCAACACACACACATATGCATTCACACAAATATCCTCAAACACTCAGCAAACCAAACAAACAGAGTGAAGCGCAATCTTTTATAAGCTACTCGCCTTCTGTGTCATCTGCCGTCCTTCCCAACACTAATACTACACATCCTCCATTAAAGTTTGACAAGGACATTTTGCCCATTTAAACACATTTCTACAAAGAAAAAAAAAAAAGTATCTGGTAACATTGCATGGTCAGGACAAGGGCCACCAACTTCTGGAACAATTATAAAAACTTGACTAACTCATTACTCATCTTTGACCCCAGCGGCGGTTGCACAATTTCATTCACCTAAACACACATTTTTCAAATGCGTACACATAAATCTAGCTATGCACATGGGACTATCATGTGGGGCCGAGTGGGCTGCGTTGATTTGCACAATCACCTTGATGAATCACCCTATATAACAGCCCACAGAGGAGCATAGTCTCTATTGAACCCCTCACCAGAGAATGGCTATCTTCTACATGACCTACACACACGCCAACAGAAAAAAAAAAAAGGCAACGACCCAGGAATAAATTACACGTGACCTTTATACACATCATGTTTAAAATGCAACGTCCTGAGTGTGCTAGACGTGCAAAAAAAAAAAAAAAAAGATCCAGAGATGCTACAGCGATAAAAATCCTCAGCTGTGCACCACCTATGAATGCACAAATAACTTTTAACACAAAAATGCTCTTGAGTAGAGGGGCAGGGGATATTTCCAGTGTGAATGGCCATTCATGTAAAAGGAAACCACAAAATGACCATGTTTCCTCTCTGGTTTACTGTTAAACCAGCATGTGCACATATGCAACCTGGAAACATACAGACCGCCAGGCGAAAGAAAAAAAAAAAAAGGTGTTCTTAGAAATTAAATATGAAAAGCATAAAATATGCAGCCAGCTCCCACTATGCCAACGTTGCCTCTGACACAGGCTTTCTCTCCTCCGTTCCCACCACATGTTTTATTCAGCACTGATATTCTAAAAGCTGAAATAGAACAATCTATTTCCCCTTGCACTCCTCACTTCTGATTTACTGATGAATATTTCAGAGGAATGTCAGAAAAGACAGAGAAACTCCACTCTGCAAGCCAGCGTCTGCCTCACCTCTTCCTCCGTCTCCCATCCTCCCACCGTTTTACAAGACAGCTACGTGATCCTTGTGCAAGACTCACTTAAGTAGCAGATTTGCTTAATTTTCTACATGATTTAACAATTTGTGGAGTGAGCGTTCAGGGGCATGAGAAGGGGAGAGAGGGGAGTCATTGGCCCAGAAGTGGGGAGGGAAAAAAAAAAAAGTGAAAAAAGAGAGAGGGGGAAGAAAAGAGATAAAGAGAGACAAAGTGCTGCACAGACAAGACTCGTGATATGAGTGAGGGGAAAGATATCCCTAAAAATGAAACAAAAATCCAAGAAAACCACAAACCAAGCTGCAAATATTGCTCCTAAACTTTAAGTCAAACTTTACTTTTTAAACCTCTACGTTTAAATAATTAAAAGTGGAGCAAAAAGGAGTCCATTTGATTTTGGGATTTCTTTAAAGCGACATGCCACAAGTATAAACAAGTAGGTAAGTAAATTATGGACACATGTGAAAGGCACACATCTGCTCCTGCTCTTTCCAGTCCCTCATGCCTATTTATACCTGACTGGAATGCCAGTGAGTGACTGACTGGCTGACTGACACAGTTGCGCACACACACACACACACACACACACAGACTCACACAGCTTTACAGGCAGGGCTATTGTTCTGCTTCAGTCTAAGCAAAGTCATGTGCACTACTACAATATAGAGAGGAAACAGAAGGGAAACAGTGAGAAAAGAAGACAGAGGGACACAGTCAGGAAGTTTCTATCAGAGATACACACCCACACACACTCACCTACACACACACACACACACACACACACACACACACACAGGGAAGTAGAGCAGAGATGGTACTTACAGTCTCTCAGTGTTGCGGGGGATATTCCTTGGCATGGTTTTGAGACCCAGTCCATGGCAGTCCACTGTGGTGCCGCTGCAGGTACACAGGGCAGGGCAGGCACTGGCATCACCCATGATCAGGGCAGAGAGCATCACCACCCACATCCAGAGCGGCTGCCCGGCCAGCCTGCCCATGCCTGCCTCAAAACAGCTACCTCTAATGGGCATATTCACCACCACGGCAGCCTTGCTCTTTCTTGAAACAAAACCCCTTACTTTTCACTCTGTCCACCTTTTTCTTTTCTTTTTTTTTTTCTGTCCCTGCTTCCAAGAGTCCTGCTACACCTCACAACTCCGCTAGAATAATTCTAAATATGTGGTGAATATAAATAGAATAAAAGGGAAAAGAGAGAGAGAGAGAGAGAGAAAAAAAAAAACTATAACAAATGCTAATATTTTCCTCTCAGCTGTGAAGCCACACAAATCCTTTTTTTTTTGTGTTCTTCTAGAATTCTTTTGATGTAGGTTTGATATCCACCACAGTTTGCAGATGTGAAAAAATAAAAAATAAAAAGAAGAAGAAGAAGCTGCTTTCTTTCTCTTATGTTCTCCTTGCAAACTCTTCCTCCTCTCTTGTCTTTGTGGAGTTGGTGTGCTCTGGTCTGCACACGTCTGCGTCTCTGTCCTCCTCTCACTCAGTCCCGTTCTGCTCTGCTCGCCTGAAGAGAGAGGGAATAGGGAAAGAGCAGAAAGAAAAAAAAGCCAGTCTCTCTCTCTCTCTCTCTCTCTCTCTCTCTCTCTCTCTCTCTTACATACACACACACACACACCAGTCATCCATCACAAGGATCTACAAATAGCAGAGCCCCCGACTCCACCCCTACCCCTCCTCTCCTCCCCCACTCCTCTCCCTCCTCATACAACACTCTCTCCCCCCCCCACCAGAACCCTGCCTGAACTCACTCTCATTCCTGAGATCCCCTTTTCATTCCCTTGACTCTATTCACAATACAAATCTACTCCAAGTATCTTTCTTTTTCAATTGTTTTTTTTTTTTTTTTGCTCACTCCACTCCCTTCTCTCTCTCAGGTTTGCCTCCAGGCGAACCCCCAGAGAGAGACCTAACCTGCATGACACTGCATAACCTCCCGCCCGAAGGGAGAGGCTGTGGGGAGACCGGGCTGTGTGAGTGTGTGTGTGTCTGCGAACGTCTACATGTAACGAAGGAGAAACCACCGGGGAAGAGAGGAATCAACACCTCGGTCCAGGGAGGCGAAAAGCCGGAATAAATAATCAGTAAATGTGGGTCTCAACATGTACATCAAGGGTGGCCACACAGACAGTAGCTGCAGCAGGGAGCTGGGGTGAAAAAAAGGCACACACACACACACACATACATTCATTTTTGCCTCTGCAGATCATGAATCTGTTGGGGAGGTAGACCACCGCCATAAAAAGTAAGTCAACACTATATTTTAAGCATAGCCTTACATATGCAAGCGACAAGACAAAGAGCGACACTCACAATCATACCTGCTCTGTTATTTGGATTTATGAGAGCAACTGGCACACGATCCCTCTCCTAACGCCAGGACCATGCATTCCCCAAAGTGGACTCAAGGCATAAAGACATAAACTGGACCGTGCCGAGAAGGGAAAATTGAATGATAAGCAGCATCTGCAGGCCATTATTTACTTTAAAAGAATTCTTAATAAATATTATTTTGCAAAGGCTGACATTTAGTTAAAACAGTGTATATATTAGAGTCTGCCCGCTGCTGACAGTGTAATTGTAGCTTTCAGGAAACATTTCCAAAAGCATATTGATTTGCACTTCATGGAATTGCAAATCAGTATTCTGGATGTGGGTACGAAATGGAGCTCTCATTTTTATGAGTTCGGGCCAGAGTGCATTGATCACAGTTATCCGCACAATAAAACAAATGGCGACACCTTAAAATAAGGTGCATAACAGTGTGACAATATACCAAGGAAGGAAAAAACTTTATACCGTATGACTCTGCATACATCTGCCTAATGAAGTCCTCTTGATTGACGCTGAATCAGCCGATAAAAACACAATAACTACTGCTTAGGCCGCGATACTTTTGTATGTTAATACTTGTTGCAAGTTTATGTTTTCTCATGCAAGGTTGTAATTTGTTAGTTTGGTGGGGTGATGCTTGACTTGAAGGCACTAAAAATGGCAACCAAGGAAGTTGTTTAGTGCCATGTAGCACGCGATTCAGCATTAATCAAGAATGACTCATAAAGAGCCTATTTCATGAATGTTTTTGTGTCTGTCTCTAGTTTTCTCAAAGTTTCTGTACAACTTGCTAAATAATTTTTCTTTTAGTCACAGTCTGCTACTGCTATTCCACCGTTCCTAATTTGCTCCTTGATTATCGCTTAGTGGCAGTTCTTTAATACTCAAAGTAACTAAACCTTGGGTAAAGTGCAACAGAGCTATCCTCAGCCGTGCCGACGTTCAGCTCAAGCCACTTGGTTTCTAGTCTAATTCTACAGAGGGCTTTTCAGTGGGGTGGATCCCTCCCAGCATTAACATCAGCAAATCACACAGACCTATAAGAACCCCATTCACTGTAACTGACAAAGGCACAAAAAGAGAGAGAAAGAAAGAAGAAACAGGCAGAATAAAGTAAGCAGAAATGTTTGAGTTTGTGTGCCTCTGTCTGCTTTGTTGCTTGACCAGCTTGGAACATGTACATATGCATATATGTGCACATGCAGGTGTACACACACAATATATACCTCAGAAAAAAAAGAGCTCCATCTGTCCCAGTAAAAATGTCAGCGCAGTGTAGATCTTCCCCCTATGAATGGCTAATTAAAGAGGAGACAGTGGTGTTTAGTGGTAATGGGGGGTGGTGGTAACATCCCTCCGCTCTCACAGAGTCGTGATAGGAATGCACACAAATACACAACAGGAATTATTCTGCTGCTCTCAAAGCCGTGGGAGGACATGGCAGCAATTACAATTGTCTGGCAGAGGAGAGTTTGCAAAACATAAGACCTCAGCAGCAATTGACTCAAATAAGGAACTGCAATTAATGTGGAATAGTTTCCCGTTTAAAAATTCACAGTACTCTTGAAGCCCGTGGAGTTTAATAAATATTTTCCTACAGCTCGTTCCCAAGTTGGAGTAAAAAAAAAAAAAATCATCAAGACGAAGCTGGCAGCTGCTCCTGGCTGAATAGAGGAATGAGTCTCTTAGCTCCTGTGCACTTGACTCAAAAAACTGAAATGTGCTTGATAATGAAATAGCAAGAAACCAAATTTAGCATCCAGAAAATTTCCAAAGCATGCTTCGAGCCCGACTTATTTCGTATTTCACTTTCATAGAGTTACGCCTCAGAAAAAAAACTGTCCAAAAGATTGTGGAAAAAATCCAACACCGAGCCAGAGTTTACAAAAGTGTTCTAACTTTGTGTTTTCCTTTTAACGCAAATTATCTGGTACTGGTATTTTATATGGACGGAATTAGCTCCCTCTGAAAGGAATTTTAGTGCATACATTTAAAGCAAAATCACATCCACTCACAAACCCACAAACATATAGGTTTGTGGGTTTGTGTGCCCGGCAGATAATGCGAAGTTGATTACAGTATGACTGACTCATTTTACAGTCATCATGCTCATTCTGGAGTAGGATTACTAAATAAAACCCCTCTGTTTTAGCTGTAAAACAATACTCTTCCTATCATGGAAGCTGTCTGTTGTGTATTTACGGAACATGAGAAAAAGCAGACCCATTCTCACAGATGTTTACAACATATACTTACAATACCAAGCATGCATTGACATGGACACCATAATGACACACTGAGACATTCCTGCTATTGTGGAAAGCCGTCCTCACTCTTACTATCCACCCTCTCACCCTCCAACTCCATAAAATGTTCAGTTTGTGCAAAACGTTCATAGAAAACACCATTTCCCCACCACCCTGGCAGTTCAATTTCCCTTTAGGAGCTTCCTGGGTGTTTTGTTTTATTGTAATTGGTCATATTGTGGTCATAAGTGCAAAATTTGGTTAATTTTATTTTGCATTTTAATTACAGCAATGGACAAAACTTGCACTCACTGTTTTTCATATAGCTTCTATTTACAGTGTCTAATATATTTGAGGAATGATTTTCTTACTAGATTAAACAATGTGCAATTTAAATAGGGCAACATAGGAGAAGTTAATAAGCAGATTTTTCACACGCTGACAAGTCCTAAACAATTGTCTCTAATTGGATTGGCTCAAATGAGAATATGCTGTCATCATACATTCTATGGCTGTACCAAAGGTTCTGTATGTAGCTCAGATTATTTTCAACTAAAGAGCATCACCTTGTGGCTGCAAATGAAACAGCGCCACATAGCTTCAGACACTTGGACATTTCTAATTATAAAAAAGCAAAACAACCGTGGCATGCAGCTTGATGTCTTTTAATTACAGTGAGTTGCATAGCTTCACAGTAGCGCCAATATAATCTGTTCACATGGTCAGTGAAGGAAACCATATAGCAATTAGTCACATTACAGGTAAATTGTAACAGCTTTGCGGTGTGTTACTGAAAGAGTAAGACAACAAGGTGGTTTAAAAAGTGGCATTGGCTAAAACTCTCCCATAAAACACTTGGAGTAACAGTCACAACAGAAGTCAAAAAGATTCATCTTTGTTTGCATTCAGCCACCTATTAAAAGCTGATTTTAAAAACATATGTATAAAAAAAACCAATAAAATTTTGCACAATAACTGTAAAGATAAAAGCACATCTAAAGCTATTAAATTGTGTACATACGTTGCAAAAGAGTTCAAACTTAGCCTGAGAAAAACTATAGGAATCTAAGAAAATCACAATATAGTTTAAAGAAGCAGTAGTTTAAAGTATCACAGTGTTGACACCCAATATCTGCACTGAAGTGGAAACAAAGACAAAAATATGCATACAATGTAAACAAGTTTTGGTCTTTTACTCGTCTCTCTCTGCCTCTGTTCTTCACTTTCTTAGTATTTACTGACATGAGTCAATTCTTTCAAAACATTTCAGCATATTCGGGAAGGACAAATAATTATGGTAAATAAAGCTTCAATTATACAGTAACTTAAGATATATTCACTTTAAGGCACATCTCTGAATTCCTCATTTTGGTCGACATTGAGCAATCTAAACTTACTAAAGCTTACACGCAAATTTAATATTTAAATAGAAAAACCTGCATATCACACTTTGTCACTACATCGGATGCGCTAGATTCAGGGCTTGAAGACCATTAAAACATCCAGAAGACAAGTGAAAAATAAATACGATAAGCTTTGCAAATTAAATAAATGCATTTCAATCAGTAATAAAGCTAAATACCCCAACATTCACTGATGCAAATGCATGCCTCTTGCATAGTAAAGAGCTCCATCAGTGAACAAGAAATAAAGAGGGAGCTCTTGAAAAATAGGGAAGAAAATTGTCCAATTGAAATAAGGTGAAATGAAGTATGTCCACACGCTAACTGTTGTCTATTAACTCCATTTATGTCCCTTATCTTTAGAAAAATGCACTATACTTGATTGATTTGGTTGTCTGACTAACTTGTGTCTTAAACTTTGAGATAAAAAGCCTAGAAGACAAAATTAACAAACACATTTTTAACATTGTGTCAACGAAACTAAACAAAACTGTACAGTGCAATACGCTTGAAGTCTCACGATGGTCCTTTTACATAAAAGTCATACTGCTGTTTCCCAGTTGTGTGGAGCATGTTCTTTTAAAGACAATTATTCCTGGAAGAGAAGAGGAAAGCGAGAGGGAGAAAAAAAAGATTAGGCAATGTTCAATCACTTCAGCCGAGCACAGGCTTCAGGCATCATTAGCAATGTAAGCATTGTGAAGCCAGACTTGCCTGTGGTGAACCACAGACAGATGGCTGAGGTGGCAGAAAGTATGGCATTTTTTTTTGCTTTTGGTTTAATAAAAGAATCAATGTACATATACATCATCATCATCAGAGAACATTTTAGACAACTTTTTAAAGTTTAAGTTAAATTCCAAGTTCATCTCCTGTCATACCAGGAGCACCCAAAGCAACAATCCATCGTCCTGACAGTGTTGTAGTTTACAGGAACACTGCAGTAGGTGATGTGTTCCACGAGTAAACATTGGATTGCTCTTATGTAACACAAAGTACAGACTGTCACTCAGAGACTTGGTTCATATAATAGGCTTTGTAATGTAACAACACTCACAGCTCCACAGGTGGTGCCTTCTCTTCCCTGTCCATCATTTGAACAGCTGGGTGGAGGATTCTGAAGTCTGCTGTTTTCTTTCTCCGTTAATATTTGGCTTCCCAGCACCTTCCTCTGTTGTATAAACAAAAAGTCATCACTGGGAGAAGGATATGATTTTAGAAGTATGGGCTGTATTAAAGATAACCTGGAAATGTCTTACAGTAGACAACATATCGACTTCCTTTTTAGATATTTTCATGAATATTCATTATATGTATTTGAATATTTCCATTCATTGCTTACATGGGCTTCAAGTGTTAAAGTTCTACTAATCAAATGAGGGGTTTATAGCACCAGTAATATAGGAGCTATACAGGATATCATGCTGTACATCACGTCATTTGTGATGCATGAAAAAAATTTGCCACACATCAAAGGAAAGTGGTTCGAAGGGCTACCGACATTCACAGCGTATCAACAAACCTTGATAATTCCACCCAAGGAGCGCGAACGCCAGTGTTTCCTGCTAAATGGTGTCCGAGAGTCAGCCGAAGGTGTCAGCGCAGGCTGCTTTTCAAACTACACACAAAAACACATCACATAATGAGTGCTGGTCATACTAGTAGTTCATCTGTATTTTCTTTTTCCTCAGAATGGGTGCACCAAGCTACCTGTTTGATGAGTTTCTTTTTTTTGGCAGACTCCGGCATGTTGTTGACCTGCTGGTACAGCTCTCTGAGGGCAGATTCAGTATAACTCTGAGTGTCAGACGAACTGCTGGTGCAGGTGCTGCTCGCCTCACTTGTGATTGTTCTCATGGAGGGAGAAGGGGAAGCAGCTGTCGCAGCAGCTATAGGTTCATCTTTGATCCCAGAATAGAGACTCAAGTCATCCTAGAAAGTTAAACACATATTTAATGGCATATTTTAAATTTTGTTATCTAACTAAAACGACACAATGCTATTCACGAGATGTGGCTACAATAAAAATGCCTACAGGTGAGTGACACAGTGCACAAACATGGCAACAACAAATAGCTTTAAAATCTGAATTCTTTATCTTCATTATTCAGAAACTTTATTTGAAGTTCCTTAATAATTCTTTTGAATGCCTGGTAGTAGAAACCCGCCTTTTCAGCTTCTTATTTAGACATGAAGAATCTAAAATTAACCAGACACTGAAGATACTGGATTCAAAAGTTAGCAAAGAGTTTATTGTGGGAGCTTTGAAAAACTGCTTCATAGATAAATGTAATATGGGGCTCAAGATGAACTTTGTTAGAAATATAAGACAAAGAACAAAGCACTTACATTTGACTGAAGGGTTTTTGATCCTGTGAAGTATAAGCGAGCATATTCTTTGATATACACGGGTGCCTTCAAGAAAGTAAACGGGTACATTAAATCCTCCGATGAAAAGTGACAGCACAGAATTTATCTTGTGTACCATAAATCAATTTGGCTGGTGAGGCCACTCTCAACATTAAGCATGGTGCTGAAAAACCAATACTTCACTTTGAAGGGGATTTTGTATGTGCAATTTACAGACTGGTAACAAGTTGAAAAGGAAAAACCTGAATACCTGACCCCAAAATTGAGGTGACACAGTGGCTGTGTTATGCTGTGAGGGCCTGTGTACTGGCATAGCTTAGGTACAACTGTTTGCTGAGAGGGAAGAGTCACTGAAAATCAATACAAAGCGGTTCCGAGTTGTATCCTCCGATGAAACATTTCTGACAATGCCAGCACCCGAAAGGCACAAGGGGTCACTGAATGGTCGTTCGGACCTTCACAAGTACCAGACCAAAACCCATTTAAACACCTGAAGGAGATTTTGGACCGAGGTCTTTGGCAGTGCATCTACCACTAAATGAGGGACTCTCTATTGTCAGAATGGTGACCCATCCATCCAGCAGATTTTCAGAAACTTGGATAATCAATGCCAAGGAGTATTGAAACTGTCCTGGCAGCACGTGGTCATCCAACACCTTACTAAGGCACGACGCAGGTTTTTCCTTCAATTTGTCGCCCATCTGTTGCAGTTAAAAGATTACTGTACATGAATGAAAACAAAAATACAGTCAGGCTGCATGTATCCAGATAGCTTTCGGGTCTTTAGACTCTGTGCTTAAGTGCTACAAAGTGCTACATTAATGTGACAGGTGTAAGCTTTGAGTATATATTGTAGTATTCAAAGTAGAGTATTAAAATAACTGTATGTGAGATATAATAATGAGATTTTTTTTAAAAAATCAAGGATACTGAAAAAAATGAAAACAAAAAACGGCATGTTACCCAAAGCACACCACCTCATCTAACACAATGGCAGGTCTGTTATGACTTAGGTGTGCATGGTTACCAAAGAAACTGGCACAATGGCCACAATGATGATCTCACTGCTGACTGAAACAATGAGATGAATGCAGAGGCATATAGGAGCATTTTGCATGCACACATTCAGCCACATCCATCGAAACGGATTTCTTTCTGAACTGCTATAGACCTACTCAAATCAAACTTACGAACTGGCACTTTCATTTATTTCCAGTTGTATATTTCCAACTGAATGTACAGAAGCTAAGAGCCCGAAGAACTGAGAGCACAGCTGTACCAGTACGAATGTCTGGCCTGCACGTCAGTCATTGAGCCCCAAAAGGCTGCAGACTGATAGACATTTAAATAGGCTTTATTTCTTTTTCTTTCACATGCAAATTGTGTATTCTTTCTCCTGGTAACAACACCACTTGTCATAAAAGGTGCACTCAGTTAAGAGAAAGCTCATTATGAAACAACAAAGGAACAATCGCTTGCTTGACATGACCTTAGACTTCACACCTTACGTTGTTGTTTCTATCAGACAGAGAAAAGCAACAATATCTCATAACTCTGAGGAAGCTGCTGCTTTGTATTACGGTTACATGATGAAGCTGACTGTAAAGCTGCTTACCTTGAACAGTTTTTGTGAATGCCTGATGAGAAACGCGACACCATTGTTCAGTTTCTCTAAGTTCCCCTGAAGATCACTTGCCGTCACCTGATATAAAAAAATAAAAGATAAAGCTAAAGAAATTCAAGAATTCAAGAAAACTGCTAAGGTCTACTTAGCTGCAAACACAGTGGTGATGGCAGTAAGATGAACTTGAGGTCCTTACATTTTTGGGCCAGATGATGTGTGGAGCAAACATTGTGGCTAAATTGATAGCAGACATCTTGTTGACGTGCTGATTGCGGGCAGTGTGGTACAGTAAGTCCAGCAGCAGCTTCAACAAACTGCGGTTGGCCGGTGGAAGCAGCATAAAAAGCAGCTGGAATGCCTCAATCTGTCGTTCCTTATCTGGCACATTTGTTTTATCCCCTTTATCATCGAAGCGAGCCAACTCTGGACACAACAGATACGAAAATTATCACAAAAGGGCACGGTTATCTTCTTTTCTTGATAATACATTGAAGGCATGATAAGAATCTGTGTATGAGTCAGCCAGCACCTCTAATCTTCAGGTGAGCACGATAGTGTCTGTGCGTGAGCAGAGGCTCTGGCAGCTCTCCCAGGTAGGCTTTGAGCAATGTCGCCGCATCATTGGGGTGGAAGTCGCCTGTCTCTAGATCTATCTCTGCTCCAGTGTTCAGCATCTCCCTTAGGGCTGCCTGCCTTAAGCTGTGGCCTGGCACACGAAACAACCCCTCTACGTGAAGGTCTGAGAGGTGGGAGAGAAAGATGGAGAGCGACAGCCAAAGAGGAAGGGGGAAAAGGGGATGTGGTGTGTAGGCGGGTAGACACAGAGTGAAGAAGACACAGGGAGGCAAAGACTCAGAAGTGAAGAGAGAGATGGAGTGAATGAAATGGAAGGAGGGAGATGGCAGGAGCAAAGTGCTTTCAGATAAATTATTGACTTAAGCATTTGCTCCCAGTGTCCACTTTCAGTGAATGACATCATTGCTTTCTAGAAATAAACCATGACCTCATACTAATTCATTGCTCTCCAACAAAGTTAAAGAACAAGTAGTAAGCATGCCCTAATGCGTGACAAATCTAATTCTTACAAAACTGAAGGACATGGGCTGATTGAAGTATGGCAAGACATCATTAAATCAAGTGCCGAACAGCTTCTGTCTGACAAAAATACTACTATGGTTAAGGATTTGTTTTTTCTGCAGTTCCCTTATGCAAATATACGTAGTCATAAAATCACAAACTGTTCCGAATGAAAGTGCCTTTCACATGTCAGAGAATATGCAGGCATATGAGCCAATACTCACTTTTGCTCAGGTATTCAATGAGCTGGTAGATCTGTGCTATTCCTTCTTCGGTTAACGGGGCACCAAAAACTACTCCTTTGTCTGAAAGGTATCAAATGGCACAGAAAGACTGACATTAAACTTGGTGTGAACAGTTTGATTTTCTTCCCATTAAATTCTGAAATATTATGCAACACCTCTTGCACGATATAAAACAACTGAAGGCCACATTACCCAGGCAACAAGACAGTCTGGAGATAAAAACTAAAATAGGTAGTGTAGAAATTGTTTATGTGGAGACTGAATCTAACATTACTGCAATAATCTAATAATTGGTTAGATGTGAGAATATGATGCTACTCTAAATATCACATATTTAGTCTAAATATCTTTTTAGACTGTCGGTCAGTCAGAGTGGGCAAACAGATGGTGTCAAGTTTGGCTTCTGGAAACTGTAATTGGCAGTTTATTTATTTTCTGTGATTTCACAGACTATGATTAGGCTCAATTTTATGTTGATTAACAACCTAATCATTTTATCCCTAGTGGAGATATATGCATTTCAAGTCTGCCACTCTTAATTACTGAAGAATTATAAAATCTCTGCAGAGAAACGAAAACTTTTCCATGTTAGTTCTCTCTGACTTATGCAAAATAAGTAAAATAATTAGACACATAACTTTTTTTTTTATTTAGAAAACTGTTTCAGAAACTATTAACACTTGTGCACAGTATTGGTTCTGTTAGTCTGACCTTTCCGTTTGAGAAAGTTGAAGGACCGCAGGAAGCTACTGGAGGATGGTATTCTCGGCTCCGACTCTCCCGTGAGCTGGGCAAACTCATCCCCAGGAAGATCTATGAGTCGAGTGATATTGCTCAGTATCAGATCCGCGAAGGCCTGTGGATGTTCGTGTCTCAACCTCTCCACAAAGAAGTCCGGGTTGAAGATCACAGGCTGGGTTGTGTTTGGCTTTTCCTGACTGATAAACACACTGCATTTTGTCCACCTGTTGGAGAAAAACACAAACACAGCGAGCTGGGTCTCACCTTAAAACTCAGTAAATCGTCGAAATGATGCCTACATTTTAACAGCTTAATCAGCAGAGCTGGTATGTAGCACAAATATCAGATAAACGATCAGCAACGGTGGCGTAAACTGTTGCTAGGTTAACTTAGCTGCGTTGGCTAGCGCTAAAAACTATGATAGCAATGCTGTATAGCGAAAAACAGATATTTTATCAACACTCATTATTTCAGAAGCGTAAAATTTGTAGTGTGACGTTGAAGCCTTTAAGTTGACGGCATAACAAACGAAAAGTCGGTACCTTCTGTCCAATTTGTGAAAGTTTTGGGGATCCTTTTCAGTCGCCATCTTCGTTTTGAATCTTCCGCTGTTTCGTCTTTAGTCCCGCCCACTGGGCTGTGATTGGCCAAAATATACATACGTCACGATCATTCAATCGTGTTTACTTTGTGCACCAGCTGCCTCAAACAGGCTCAATATGTATTACAGCTGCTAGTATGGGTAAAATATTGTATAACCATTTAGGACATTTAAAGTATGCGTTTACACATAATGAATAGGTATGTAGAAAAAATATCTAATTATATGTGGTAAAATGTAATGACGATACATAATAATTAGGTTAAAAGAAATCATCATGTGGCAAAAGAAAAGGTTCAGAACCCTGTGGCTGTGCAAGTGAAATGTCAAAGAAAGCTTTAATATGATTGTTTTGTGATCTCTGCTGCATCACTCAGCCAGCTTGGAAAGCAACATACAAGGCTGCAAAAATACACACAACAGAGACCTTATGAATTTTGATGTAAACATGAAACACATTTCCTGACATGAGGGCAGATTGAAGTGGTCATCACACAGTGATGAGCCTGTTATGCATGCTGGGCAGTGTGAAAAGGTGTTTTTAGGTTAACACACTACATGGTTTTATCAGCTTTTTGTGTTCACTATAAAGTGTATAAGTTGACTGAAGATCGCAGTCTCTGCTTAGAATCAGAATCAGAACTTTATTGTTGCACATGTCACAAGTACAGAGCAACTCTTGCTCTATTATTTTCAAGTGTGTTGGAATAATTTAGAACAATTCAGTGGATGTAGTTTGTATTTTTTTTTCTGGCAACAAGCTATGACATCATAGACTGTCTTCTCGTTGTTTTTCTCAGTTGCAGTATAATCATCCCATATGCAAAACAGCAAAAGCATTTCCTCAAAACGGGTTATAAAACAGCACCACACAATGGGTTACCTTCCAAACCTCATTCATATATTCTTTCAGTATTTTTTCTTGAGGTGTATTGTTGACAGGCAGTTTGTTAATGGACCATGTCCACGCAATACACAAAGAAAAAAAAGACAAGAGTGCCTGATAGCACTGTGTGGGACAAAGGGGGAAAAAGTTACATCAGACATTCCAACAGATTCTTTTTGTACTGCAATACATCTGCCCGTTATCTTGATATATTTAGAATGTGTTAATGGGTTGTTCTCAGTCAAGTCATCCTGCTGTTATGACAACACACAGAATACTTTTTCTACTGCACTCGTACTTACAGCAGTCTGCTCCACTCCTGCCCAAATCAAGGTATTTGGCAAAACTAAACAAATATTTACAAAGATGTGAAATATAGGTCTGAAACATCCTATCTGCCATGAAATTTAAAGACAAAATTACAAATTTAAAAAAAAATGTATGTGTAGTTACTTTTGCTAAGCACAGTCTTTGAAAGGTGAATCAAATATAATATAAACACATAATTGTGATCATCACTGTCAACAAGCAATATGTATAAAGCTAATTCAGGGTGCCAGACTTTTTTAATCTGAACATGTTGTCCATCCTCCTCCAAACTGAAAAATGAATGGGTATGTCACAGTATGATATGAGCAATACATCTAAATAATAATCTTGAACAACAAATATTTCAAACAGTATATTAATAACATAGTAACACACATCTTATCCGGTGACTTCTCTGGAAACTTTGAAAATGCAGTATCACACTTAATGTAAACTCCCCCCCCCCCAAAACATTCACATCTGTCACAATAATGTAACCTCAACAGCACTTACTGTACAAAAATTACTTGTAGCTGGACAAAAAAGCCTTTCAAAGAACAGAATAATCACATAACAGTACATTATAGACAAAGTCCACACATTTTCTACATAGATTACACATCTTAACAAAACTTGAAAAAAAAACAAACTTGCTTTCACTCTCTTCTTGACAGCAGACTGAGAAAAAAAACATGGCCATGAACAGAAAAGCATGAAAGGAGGTGGTCGGTAATGGCATAAAAATTCAGTTTGCTTGCTGTGGCAGCTCATGTTGATAGGGGCTTTCATTGCTCTCCTCCATCTCTCTGATCAGACTTGTTAGTGACTTTCTTTTTGTCCATCTTTTTTCCATAGAATTTTCCATTGATGCTTATTCCAACTGGGGTGCGTGATTATTTCCTAGAGCCTCTCTGCCTCAGCCAAGACATGCTGCCATACTTCCTAGTAGCAGTGAGGTTTGAGCCTACCTAGAGTTCTCCAGCATGCCCTACGAAATGTGTGGGAAGAAATACAGAACAACAGAGGATCTAGAGCACCGTTGATGTACCACAGCGGAAGCGACAAATACGACTTCAGGATTGTGTAGACGGAAAGGACTGTGTCAGACCACACAACCACGTACACCTGCATCAGCGATGAGGCAATGTCTGGAAAGTTGCAAACAAAAAAAGCCACCACGACTGCGCCTGAAAAACAAAACAGAAAAGATATTGATAGCTCAAAATGGCTAAATAGTGTGTTAATGCAATTCACTTGTATCTTTGGACTACACAAGGCATTTGAGGTACAGTGCGGGGATTTGCTGACTTCAACAGCAACCACAATAAGTCAACTTATCTGATTCACCAGCAAAAGTAGACCAAAGCTTTGCACCCAGTGTCCGTCCACTCATTTTCTATGCCTATTTTACTCTTTTACCAATATAATGACAGCTCCTAAGTAAAGACTCTGCAGATTCCACATAGTAGTTACACAGATTCCAACATCATATCCTTTGACATGAAGTATTACACTTTATGGAGTGACTGGGCACGTAAACTGTCACAAGATTTAAAGTACCACAACTCGAGATATAAATTATGTTTTAAAAGTTTTGATGACGCACCCATGAGTTTTAGCGCTCTCTTTTCATTTAGAAGTAGCTTTCCATTCTGATGGCACTGAATATCTCGCCTTCCTTCTGGATGCGGTCGCATGAGGCCCATGTTTCTCCTTTGACGACCATTCCTCCTCAGGTAAAGCAGGATGAGCATATAGAGAGTAAAGATGGAGACCAGTGGGACCTGTAGTTGGAGAGGCACGTTGAGTGTCCATGTCTAATGCAGAAGAGCATACAGAGTTTGTCAAACAGCATTTTATCTCACCAGAAAGAAGAATCCCGCTCTCAGGAGTAAGGCTCCTTTGTAGATGTGTGCAGGATCAGGCTCAGTCATTTCACACATGGTGGAGACCTGGAAGGCGTCTTTTTGAGTGGTGGCCGTGTAGTCCAGGATGCAGGCACGTGCCTGGTCATAGACCAGAGCAAAAGGCACAGCTGAGACCAGAGAAATGATCCATACTGAAAGAAGGCATGGCAGTCGAGACTTCTTTTGGAAAGAAAGTAGAGAGAATAGAAAAGGGAATTTGTTGGTCTTGTTCACAAAAACTGCATTATTTTCTTCAATTTCCATTTCTACCAGCTGTGCGTGATTGGCCACTTGAATCATTCTGGCATAGAACTATAAAGCAAGCTAAAAATAAAGCCATTGTGTACTTTTTCTCTATATATATTTTGAACATGAAAATGCTCTGCTGTTGAAGACATCACTTTGTAAAAATCACAATCCTTTACAGTTCATTCTGATACAAGTCTACGATTACAAACAGGAAACCTTTGACATGAATTTTGGGGAAGAAACCCAACATAAACATCACAACAAAAAGATGTAATATAAATAACAAGCATTATTACATTCTAAGGAATGGTAACTAGTCTAGTGAGCATATAAACTGTCAAAAGCAAAGAGTACACTTTTGCAGTGCAGGTACTCAACCTTTAGACTAGAGACAGACCACATGGTATGGCATATGGCTGCGTAGCGCTCAGTGGTGAATGTCACGATAACCCAGCTTGTGGTGGCACAGTAAACTTGTCGAATCATAAAGTAGACCTTGCACACTGCTTGGCCAAGACGCCATGGGTAGCTCTCCCAGTAATATCGGTACAAAGTGATGGGGATGGTCAACAGCTGCAGAATGTCTAGAATTGAAACATTTACAGAGAGAAAAAGATGGAAGTCATTTAGTAAATCTGGAATAAGAATGGTTGCTTGAAGTATACGCAGCACACTGTAGTTGCAGTGAGACAGACAATGTTGAATTGAACTAAATCAGCCAAATTAAAATGGTAAAAATTGTGAACAAAAGTTTACATACACTTGTGAAGACCATTATTATCATTGCAGTCTTGAGTTTCCAGTCAGCCCTTTGACTGAATTTTCTATGATGGAATCATTAAAAAAAAATGTGTGTCTTTGTTACAACAACCAATCATGCATTTTCGGTCTTTTGGAAATATGACAAAATCTACAGGGTCAAAAATATACATACAGTAATGCCAGCATTTAGTTAAATGTCCCTTGACCATTTTCACCTTAAAAAGATGTTTTTTTTGTAGCAAACTACAAGCTTCTGGATGGATCTTTGACCACTCCTTTGGACAGAATTGGTGCAGTTCAACTAAGTCTGCTGGCTTTTTGACACAGACTTGTTTCTTTAGCACAGTCCACAGGTTCTTGATGGGGTGATCAGAACGTTGGGGAGACCATTATAAAACCTTAGTTCTAGCCTGATTTAGCCACATATTTATCACCTTTGATGTGTGTTTGGGGCCATTGTCTTGTTGGAATACCCATCTGCATCTAAAACCCAACCTACTTGCTGATGATTTTAGGTTTTCCTAAAGAATGTGGAGATAGTCCTCCTTCTTGATTTTTCCATTTACTTGGTGTAAAGCACCAGTTCCACTTGCAACAAAACAGCCGCAAAACACAATACTATCACTGCCACGCTTAATGGTAGTTTTGGTATTCTTGGGGTTAAGGGCCTCCTCCTATCTCCTCCAAACAACTCCAAATAGCTACATTTTTATTTAATGTGACCACAGAACTTTCTTCTAGAAGGTCTTTTTGTTGTCCGTGTGTTTAGCAGCAAACTTCAGTCGAGCATTAAGGTGCTGCCTTTGGAGAAAGGGCTTCCTTCTTGCACAACAGCAAAAAACTTTGACTGAAACCTGTGTTGCAGGAGTTTCTAATTCATTTAAGACCTGCTTAATGGTCATTTTTGGTTAACTCTTGGGCGTTCAGTTCATGCATGGCTGTAGAGTAAAAACTGCTCTCCACTGGAAAAAAGACTCCAATAACTGCAGAAAGCTTGATCCTCCTTAGTGTCCTGAGGAAGTACGGTCCATGCTGGGTGATTTTCACCAACACAGTGGAATTTACAGCCCACTTGACGTTCTCACTGATGTACATTCCCAGGAACTTAAAACTGGAGACCCTCTCCACCTCCTCCTCTCCCGTTTTGAGTGCCAGCTGCTCCTCCTGTTGAAGTCAATGAGGAGCTCCTTTGTCTTTTCGATGTTTAGTCATGGGTTGTTCACTGCACACCATTCTGTTCGTTTGCAGACCTCATCTCTGCAGGCTGTCTCATCACCATTTGAGAGTCCCACCACTGTTGTGTTGTCTGCAAATTTTCTGTATTTGTGGGAGTATACTGTCATATGTATAGAGGAAGTAGAGTGCTGAGGTTCAGTCTCGGGGAGATGAAAGGGCCGAGTCTCACTCTCTGTGGGCAGCTGTTGAAGAAGTCCTTTATCCACAGACACAGTTATTACTGAGACCAAGGTCCTGCGGTTTCCTGACCAGCCTGCTGGGGCCACTAGCATTAAAAACAGAGCTGTAATCTAAAACCAGCATCCTCACATACAGTATATCCACTTCTGCTCCAGGTAAGTCAGCGCAGTCCGGAGGGCGGTGTTTATGGCGTCCTCAGTAGATCTGCTTACCCAATATGCATACTGGTGCTGGTCTAAGGCAGGGGAGAGGAAGGAGTTGATGAAGCACTTTAAAATGATGGGTGCCAGTGCAGCTGCCCTTTAGTCATTCAGGGAGCTGATATTGGTCCGTTTGGGCACTAGGATGATAGTTGCAGTTTTCAGACAGCCCGGAACAGTAACATGCACCTGACAGCACAGTCTTCAGGTTGATATGATTACATTCAATTATGAGAATGTAAGAGGTCGCCAAGAAAATCTGATCAACACAGCTTTCTACAACACCAACACTGATCATTCAAGTTGTTTATGTACGTTTTTGACCTTGCAGAGTTTGACATATTTCCAGAAGACCTGTAATAATTCTAAATGCATTGTTGTTTTTTGTGACAAAGACGCATGTGTTTCAATGATTCCCTCATAGAAAATTAACAGTTATAGGAATCATGGCAATTGAAGACTGCCAAGACATTCATGGTCTGTACAAGTGTATGTAAAGTCGTAGGTAAGTAAACTGTACGTGCTCACATAATGTGTGTTTATATTATTACCTGCAGCGTTTTGTTTTGTCTGACACATGCTTTTAACGTATGCTTAGCCAGCAGTCACTTTCTTTTTATGGTTTGTAATCCTTCCTCTGCACACTGAGTTGTATTTTTGATCTGGAGCATCAGAAACCTATTGAGTCCTGGGGCCTCATTTATCATCAGCATGTACGCACAGACGTGTACGAAATGAGTGCGTACGAACATTCCCATGCCAATCAACTTGTATTTATACTTAGGAATATGCGTAAGTATAAGTACAATTCTGACCATGCGCACGCACATTATATAGCGGTAGAATAGTGAAACTACAAATAGAAAGCATAAAGGGATTTTGACCATCGGCACATTCCAGTGTGAGGTTGGAAATATGCAACATTTCCCAGCCACCACTGAGCAGGATCATGCCAGCCATGTTGGATGCTATAATTCTCCTGGCCCCAGCCTACATCCAGTTCCCTCACAGCCGTCATCAACATGCCCAAATCAAATGGGGACTTCAGGCGATGGCTAGATTCCCAAATATAATTAAAGCCATAGACAGCACCCACATTGCAATCAAAGCAGCTTCACTAAACGAATTTAATTATGTAAATAGACAAGGGTTTCATTCAATCAACGTACAAATAATTTGAGATGCACATTTGTCGCGAGCAGAACACTGCTGTGGGTCTCCAAGCAGGAGTTGTTGAAGATGGCTGGCTTATTGGTAAGTGTTACGAAGTGTGGAAATGTTTTAGCTGGACTTCGTATGGTTATTAAAACATGTGATCTGTAGTGATCAGGGTTATCCACTGGGTGAACGTTCAGTATTAAATCATCCTCCAGTTGCCGCCATTTCTCTTTTACGTGCTGTGATGCATTTTTTGGCACGAGGCTTAACGTCAAACCACTTTTTTTTTTTGTAAATTTTTATTTCTGCTAGCAATCTCTCCTCTAAACCAACAGAAATAACTGCAGTGGTTATCTTGTCCCATGCAGTATTTTTTTTCTTTCGTTGCTTATCCCAACATTTCACGCACTAAACAATAGTTTCTGGTTAGCTTCAACCTCGCTGTAGTACCTCAATTTCGGTTTCTGAAAAGTCTCTCTTTGTCGCCCCCTTTGCCATGATGATGAAAGGCGAGGGGAAAAAAATATTCACTTGTTTTATAAAGAGGTGTGTTGTTACCGTATATAGTCAATCAGAGGCGTTTCTGAAAGCAAATGATCCTGAAAGTGCACGAGCATGGGGGTTAAGAACAAGTGGGATATACCAACGCTGATGACTTAATCATATTTTACCGACTTACCGATAAAAATTATTTTTTGTTCTTGCGTACACTCTAGATTTCATTTGTAAGACAGAATTTAGAAACTTTTCTATGCACTGTTGATAGCTGAGGCCCCTGTACTCTAGCTTTTAGACTTATCCTGCGCATAATGATAATGAAAACTGGCATTTCAATTTTAATTGGATTCACACATATTTCCGTTAAAAATGTCATTTGTCAGTTTGAAAATAAAAATGACTAGAAATTTTAACATCCACCCTAATTTATTACACACATTAAGAGTAAGTGTACACCTTAGACCAAAATATATACACAGCTATATTGACTTTGACTTTTGAACAATATTATTGCAGCTGCAAACAGCAAATACATTTTCACTTTTATTGAAAAATTTCAGTTGAATACTGGCAACTCTGGACCTACATAATATGCAAAGGTAATATTGCTTACCTGATATTACCAGGCTGAGCAGGTAGAAACGAATGGCGCTCACTCTCATATGAGCATCCATGAGGAGGGTCAATATGCTCACACCATTGAATACGACCTGCAGAGCATTTAATGACAGCATTTAGTGGTGTACAATGTCAAATATTGCATTGTGTGCTTTCTGCATGTTGATAACACTACTACTGTGGCTTGGTGCTGCTGCCTTACTTTTTCATTGCATTTACCCTTCTAATAAAATTGACCCATATGTGAAATATGTGTGAAGGAAATTGCAAGTTCATACTCCAAACAAGAAGACGATGCTGTAGAAGATAGTCATAGGGACAGCAATTGTCAGCGGCTCACTTTTGGTGACACTAATGTCGAGCTGTGGCGTCTCACTGGGGCTGACATTACAGCTGAACAGGAATGAAATTTGCTCTGAGATGTTCATGGTGAGTCACCTGTGTGAAAATCAGAAAGTTGTCACAGAGAAATAGTGTCTGAATTCCATGATTGAGTTGGACAATCTGCAGTAAAATAAATAAATTAAAGGGTCTATTAAAAAAAAAAAAGAAAGAAAAAAGAAAAAAGAATAGATTAACAATGGTGTTGGCCATCAGCATTAGCATAATTCATGTCAGATGTCATTGTTTTTAATTATTGACTTTTAAATTGAATGCTGAAATAGCCATTCTTTTCAGAAATGTTTATAGACAACTGATTTCTGGATGATATGATCGGATAGAAGAAAAGAAGAGATAAAACTGCCGTCAGAATAATATTTTTCTTGTGATTTTCTTGTTTTGTCGTCAAATATATTTCTTTAATTTACACTGGACTCACAGACAGAATGTCTAAATACAAAAGTATGCCTTTTCAATAACTAAATCCCTCACTCAGGAGCAGACACATCTATATTAAAGAGAAAAATAAGCTCAACGTTAGAGATTGGTATGTACCCAAACACTGACTGAGATTCATCCATCCTGCACAAACACTTTTACTCAGAAACCTGTTGCTTATTAAGACCAAATTATACCCATATATATCAAGAGAAGTGGGCTAATTAGAGGGCACACAGAGAGCAGTGTAATTATATTAATCTATCAAACACTACATTTCAATTAGGTTGAAAGCCGACAGGTTTCATAACACCTAATTAAAATCTGATATGCACATTCTGTACAAACTGCTAGTACAGCAAGAGATTTTCAATGTCTTTTGTTTTAAACAACAGCAGTGCACTTACAAATAACCTATTGAAAGGTGTATTGGATAAATGATGCGCACACTCACCTTCAAGAGAAAAAAAAGAGCAGAAGCCAGCGAATCTCTCCTTCCCTCAACGAATCTCTTACTCCTTCTGTGACTCTCGCTCACTCGCTGTCTCCCCCTCGCTCCCTCCGTCTCCCTCTCTCCCTATAAGCACACTCTCACTCACAAACAGATGGTCACAACAGAATCTTGAAGGGGTCAGTACATTTGACGTTAAAAATGTGTGAAATTTAATTTCAAATGCATTTTTCGGACATCAACCAAAAAACATCTCAGAAAGCCACAATCATGATTTTACAAGCAGCTGGACGATGGATCAATCAAAATATGGTACTGACCAATTAACGACTCAAGCCACAGCCACTCAGTATACAAAATATAGCCTCAACATTAGCCTTAAAACGTGATCTCACATCAGCTAGAAAAATTCAAAATATCACTTTCCAAACATAGCAAAGAACAGTCCAGTCTCACGTCAAAATGTATGATGTTTTCCTCCTTGGCCACAATGCAAATTGGTAAATGGTTTGCACTTATATAGCACCTTTCTGCCCCAGTGGTGCTCAAAGCTCTTAACAATATTCCAATTTCCCAAACACCCATTCATACACACATTTACACACCAATGGTGACAGAGCTGCTATGCAAGGTGCTCACTTGCCATTAGGAGCAATTCAGGTTCATTGTACCGCCAACCTTGCAATTACCAGACAACCCACTCTGTCATCTGAGCCCCAGCCCCTTTAGTTTTACAATAAAAATTATAAAATTATGAGATGCCTCCTTTTTTTCTTACACCTATCCAAGTAGTTTGTTGCCTAAATCCAAAAAAACCCCCCAAAAAAACACAACTAAAAATCAAACAAAGTCTAAAAATAATGTGAACTGAAGTCTGAAAATAATGTGAAAAAAAGAACCACAAGGTCTCCTGGATGACAGTCATGTGACTCACTCCTCCATATTCAGACTTTGCCATGTCGAATCTCCAAAGAGACAACAACTTGACAGTCACATGACACGGACACAGGCCTATATACGCGCTGAATGGGGCACATATGGCCATTATAAATTTTGATGAGACTGTTTGAAAACATACATGCTACATGAGTAGCATAATTAGTATACTGATGAACCCTTGAACCCTTGATAATATGATGGATGAATAATCTTAGATGGACATAGTCTCCTCTAGAATTTAACGCAGCAATCACAAAAGATGCCAGAGCCTATAGCTTTTTTAAAATTATGATAATGACCTTAAACCTCTCATGGCCACATTATCCTCATTCTTCATTGAATTTTTCAAAAATGCCATTTGGATGTAATAACAAGGTTAAAAAAAAAAAAAAAGAGAGTCTTTAAGGTGTTTTTTTCCGTTGCAGCAGTACATAGTTCATGGAAAGCTTGGTAGACCTCTGCTGATACATAGATTTATTCTAAGATGACTAATCCCACAGTCTGTGTTCCATGATTCAGTCAATTCACCGAGAAGACTCACACTGTGTCCTCACTGAAATTGGGAACAAATTGTTTACCCTCCCACATGATCCAATGTATATAAAACATTTCCCCTTTTTATTGTTTTTCAGCACTGAAATTTAGTCAATTCAATTTGGCTTCATGGACAAACTCTTTAAAGAAAGACTGTTTCATGTCAAAGTGAAAATAGATTTCTACAAAGTAATGTAAATTCATTAAAAATATGAATGTAAAATAAGTGATTGCATAAGCATTCTTATGCAATTATTAGTCTTTCTGCAAAAAACTATCATTCTGCTATAAGGGGGGAAAAAACACTCATTCATTTGTATTTCTTTAAACCAATCAGTCATTGTGGTCATAGTTAAGTGAAGGATGCATCTTATGTGTTCCCTCAAAATAATGGTGGGGTGCATGTTGTGGTGAAACATTTGCATGCAGGGCAATAAGCATTGTAATTAAAAACGGTTAATCGACAGAAGAAAAAAACAACTACCATGGCTGCTTTTTGTACGATCCAAAAATTTGAAAATCCAGTGAGGACACCCGGGATCTTTCTGCGTGGAGTTTGCATGTTCTCCCCGTGCAGTGTGGGTTCTCTCCGGGTTCTCCAGCTTCCTCCCACAAGTCTAAAAACATGTTGAGGTAAATTGGTGATTCTAAATTGTCCATAGGTGTGAATGTGAGTGTGTTTGGTTGTCTGTCTATAAGTGTAGCCCTGTGATAGACTGGTGACTTGTCCACGGTGTCCCCTGCCTTCACCCTAAGTCAGCTGGGATAAGCTCCAGCCCCCCATGACCCTAGTGAGGATTAAGCGGTGTATAGATAATGGATGGATGTATGGACGGATGGACGGATGGACGGATGGACGGACGGACGGACGGACAGATGGATGGATGGATGGTTGCTCCGAGGTTGCTGTTGCTGTTTCTTATAGTGAAGGAAACAGTAACACACAGATAGTAGAGGGAAGGACATAGCCAACTGAAATAAGCTGTGGCTTATACCTGCACTCCACATCCGGTGAGTCAGAATACATGATTAGTGAAATTGAGATCATCTGAGTGCAGTGGATGTGTCTACAGTGAATGTATGTATGTATAGTATAAAGACACTTGTGTTTGTAAGTATAGTCACCAGTGAATCAGTACACCTGGGTACCATGAAGACATAACACTCCAAGCAACTCAATGAAAAGGTTATTAAATACAAGCCATGGAATTTTCCTTGGAGTACAGTTAAATCCATCATTAAGAAATGGGCAAGCCTTCCTCAAAAAATTAGTGACACCAAGACCTATTACTCCTTTGAAAGAGTGACCAGCTTCAGCTTCCACATGGCAAATACTGTGCATACAACAATTGTTCTCAGGTGGTGAGATTCTCTCAAAGCTTTATGGTATAATGGTGAAGAGAAAGCCCCCTTTGAAAAAAGAAGCTCATATTGAATCTCCACCAGGGCTCACCAGAGGGCATGTGGCAGACTCTGAAGTCAACTGGAAGAAGGTCCTTTGGTCTGATAAAATAAAAAAATAAAACTTCAGCTTTTCAGCCATCACAACACCAAACACTGCACATCATCATAAACACATCATCCCCATTGTGAAGCATGGTGGTGGCAGCATCATGATGTGGAGATGCCTCTTAAGAGCAGCAGGCCCCGGGAGGTTTGTAACAGTAGAGGGTAAAATTAATGCAGCAAAGTATAGAGAAAGTGTGGAGGACAACCTGATTCAGTCTGAGGAAACTGTGGCTTGTGAGAAGATTTGTTTTCCAGCAGTGCAATGACTTAAAGTATACAACTAAAACTACACAGCATCGGTTTTATTACAACAAGGTGAATCTTCTTACAAGCTGGATTCTGTTTTTCAGTCGACTACTAATTGGAGAGTTGGAGGTTAAAGTGACTTCACGATGCTGAACCTCTAGTTGAGTGAGAAACACTGTAAAGTACTTTGTAGACCTGCTAAGGTTTGAAGGCACTATATAATTGCAGACCAATTTGAGCATCACAGGAAAGGCTACATCAGGTTAAAAAAAAAAAAATGTAAATGAGCAAAGAAATTCTGAGGAATACAGTGAGCTGGTTCATTATTCATTTGATGTCATTTCCACATAGACAAGTTCCTAGATAGTTTATACAGATGTTTTCCAATGTATGCATGCATCTGATCTTGCATACAGTAGACTACCTTTGTGCAGTGTGTCCCTGCTTTGAGAGAAACCTTAACTCAAAAATGTAACCACAGTCTTTTTATGTTTTAGCTTGTGATGTTTTTATGTCCTCTACAGAGTGGGACTGTGTGAGCAGCCCTATTAAGGAAAGTAATACGTTTAATTTGTTTAACCCTTTCAAAAGCCTGACGGATAATTTGTTAATTTTTTGATTGGCTGCCTAGGAGCAGTAATCAGGCACCCAGCAGAGACTCAAGGAAGTCGCTAATCTCTTTCCAAATGGCAAATTGCTTGTGTAGATCAAACACAATGGCCTAAAAAGTCATAATTACCGAGGCATAGAGGCAGTGCTAGAAAGTGCTTTTGTACAGCATCAGGCTGACCATCAACCGTTTCCGATCTTTATGTTAAGTAGCCTTATATTTACAGATCTGAGAGCGGTGAAAGCATAGAGGACTATTCCCCAAAATGTCACACTATTATGTTAAACAGCATTTCAACCTAATATGACACAGAGCACAGAAGAAATGTAAACAAGTTTAAACAACTGAGGTTGTTCTCTTTATTAAAACCCAAGAATATTTATTGTTCACATATAAAAATGATTAATATATAGAATATGATTTCTTTATATTGTTTCTTATAAATACAATGCACATTTCTTTTCGTTTAGGTTTTTCGGGAAACAATAAAAACAATTTATAAAACAAAATCATCCTCTAAAAAAACACACACATGCAAATTAGAGAGCTGTTAGAGAGCTGTGCTGTTTGCTTGCGTTAGCCCAGTTATGATGTCTTCTTGTGTTATCCCAGCGTCCTTTGCCATGGCATAGAAATGGCCTTGTTTTTCAAACAGGTTGCTTGGAGAATCAAATTCCACAATTTTACCAGCATCAAGCACCATTACCCTGTGGAGGAGAAGCACAGGAAGAAATGATAACCTGACCAGTGTTCATACTGACAGAGACGCTCCAGCAAAGATAATCATTCAGTTAGATCGGTTTAATGCCCAAGGTTCCAACCTCCTGTAAAGAACGTTGTTCACTTTCATGATGTGCTGGAGAATTGAAACGTTTATGGTGTTATCTTAACACTTCTGAATTATTTTGCATTTTTCATATTTTCTCTCTTCAGGTTGCATGCAAGAGAGCACAAAGCCTTAAACACGATGTCATCCTATTTGCAGGCGTTGCAGTTTCATTTGCAGGCAGTTTTCAGTCTATCAAGAATACAGTGAATGAATTCATACACGATGGCCTTCTCCCCTGCACTTTGTCTGTGGTGGTGCCTGTCAATCTAGGTGAAGCCACTGGAGACTTTGATGAAAGATCCTTTCATGTGTCTATGTGTTCTTTTTACAGATACGCATAAAGGCTGACTTGGACACCTGATCCCTAAAACCTGACACTGAATCATACTAGCCCATTGTCTGGGACCCAAAAAATGATAAATGTTTCAAAAAATAGAAGCAATAACTAGGATTTGGGCAAAAAAAATATCTGAGACCTGCATGTGCTCAGCATCATGGAAGAACATGAAATGAATCAAAAAAGCAACTGTACTTTTATTGGAGACAGTTAGGTGTAGGGTGATTACCTACAATGCTAAAATGCTCAAAGCAATAGACTGACAGACAATTTGAGCAAGTAGACCATGGATTTAGGTTGTTTTGTCGAATAACACTCGTATGTATGCTTTATGTATTATTACTATTGAGTTGTTGTCCCAAGAGCTTAAAACTGCAATAAAGGTCAGTGTGCGGTGGCAGCACAGGGGAGAAACCGTGACATTTGGAGTTTTTACCTTCATGCTTTTTACTATATTTGTACGCTGGCATTAAAACTGGAAGAGGTTACAAAAATGTGGAAAAAATTAAAAATAACATTTCATCGTTCTCAGTCATGTTGTAAAAACTACTTGTTGGTTTCTCACAATGCTCAAAACCAAACAATAGCAGATGAAAGAAAGAAATCTGCCACTGACAAGAATTAAATAGGTGCTGAGGACCCTCATCACAACATTTTAAGGGACATTAACTCACCTCGAGCTGTCCATGATGCTGTGTAGACGGTGGGCGATGGTGAGGACGGTGCAGTATGAAAACTCCTCGCGGATGGTTTTCTGAATGAGGTCGTCTGTCTCCAGGTCAACAGCTGCGGTGGCCTCATCCAGGATTAAGATCCGTGACTTTCTCAGCAGTGCTCGGGCCAGACACAGGAGCTGCCTCTGCCCAACGCTGGGAGGAAAGTGACATGTGTTGAGAACTCAGGAGAGTGCTTTGGGAGCACACGGATGAAAATAAACCCACAAATGGACACTCATTACTGGATAATTAAAAGACACTGGAGGGCTTGGGGCTCCTGTGGGATGCATTAGGACATGCTGGCACAAACACCTGATACATGTGGGTGGTGCATGTTAGCACTCCAGGAGGTTTAGAGTTCAAATCTAAGGATGCTGGAGATCACCTCACTGACAGGTACTAATTATGCTTTTAATCTGTGCATGTGTGTGTGTGATCAGGTGAGATATGCAGCTTGCCAACACTTAATTTGATGGACAAATAACTGTTGAGCAGAAAACACAATTTAGGAATCAGTATTTAGGATTATTTTAGAGACTGTGACACATTTATCTATTATTAGATGTTTGCATGTTACAAATCAGCATTCATAGCAACTCATCTAAAGCATCAAGATTGGTCTGTGCAGTTCACCTGTGTGTTGACTGGATGTTGGCCTGTTTCTATGACATACTGCGACAAAACTGGTTCACACTCAGAGCCAAAAGCTCTTTTTCAGAAATCTAAATAATTTTTCATTTTCACTGCTCACCTGAGGTTCTCTCCCCCCTCTGCAACTTCATGTTGTAGTCCTTCCTGCAGCCCTGATACATAGTCCTTCAGGTGAGACAGCTCCAGTACTCTCCAGATTTCCTCATCGCTGACTCTTTCAAATGGATCCAGGTTCATCCTCAGCGTCCCAGAGAACAAAATGGGATCCTATCGCCACAGGGTTGGATAGGTTAGGTTAAAAATGATAGGTTAAAAATGAATGACATGTCTGAGTCATTGTTCAGGTTTTTTTTTGTGTGTGTGCGTGTGTGTGTGCATACCTGTGGTATGATTGTGAGGTGGTTCCTCAGGTCATGTAGTCCTATTTTGGCGATATCTATATCATCAATAAGGATGCGCCCTTCAGCAGCTTCAATAATTCTAAACAGGCAGTTTGTTAGACTTGATTTGCCAGCTCCTGTGCGGCCCACGATGCCAATCTGAATGCAATAAGAGAAAGCAGAAACACAATGGTTGACACGTCTTTCAGAAAGGTTTTATAAACTCTAGTCACTAACCATTTGTAAGTGGATGTACATCGAGGTTGTACACAAACAAAACATGAATATAAAGAATAATATGAGGCTTTTATACTCTGTCTGCAGCCTATATTTGCTTAATGAAAGCTTTAAAATGAATAATAACTGCAAGAATGTTATGCTGCACAAACACAACACTGGCATAGCTGTAGAGCAACTTAATTTTCTCGTGTTTTGAGCTATTTCTGCTTTTGTTGTATATTTTTCTATAACATAACAAGCTCTATATTGCACCTTTTGTATGTAGTTGTCTTTGCTGCAGCCTGGGTACATTCTGAAGATACAATAAACCCACAGCTGACAATAAAGTCAAGATTCATCAAAAGAAATTCCAGGCACAGGAAAGCAAATGAGACCAGGTTAGAGTGGATGCAACATCAATATCGCATCCCAAAGATCAAAGGCCAAAAGTGAGAAAGAAAAAATGTCATTTTCTATTAGGTGGTTGGTTTCACCATCATTAAAAAGCAGAAATACAGTCTGCTGTTTTGAATTTTTATTTTCAATTCAATGTTCAGCTTCTACTGTTTAAAATTATTTTACATTTTTATTCCAATGATGGATGTGTTTTGTCTGGTTTGGATTTTTTGTGCAAGTTTTTAAGATTTCCATTGTTTATATTATTCACATTATTTTTACAGCTGCAACTACCAGCTATTATCATTTTTGATAGATCTGTAGATTGTTTGCTTGATAGATGATTAAGAGTTTGGATTCAAATTGAAAATTGAAAACAAAAAAAAAGAGTGAGAAGTAAAATCTCAGGCACAATTTCATAAAGTACAAAGTAAAATCACTGAATGCTGTTTTTCTGACCAACAGACCAAAGACATTTTCTTTACTTTAATGCTTCAGTGTAAAGAAAAAAATAATTATCACAGGAAAGAACACGTAGTCATTGAAGTTCTCCACCAGTCAAAGGTTAGTGTCCATCACTGTCATTATTCTAAGATGTATGACCTTTGCTCTATAGAGTGACATATTTTCAGAGAATAGGCTCCTTGCTCACCTCAAGGTGTGTCTGTGAGCAGGATTTGTGACATGACAAGCAGGTTAAAAGCCAATCCAGGTCCAACTGGAAACTTGCCATCAGTTCACATTCAGTGCAAATGATCTTTTCATGCATAGTTAAATCTTTTGAAATTAAAAATATTCATAGATTCAGGACTTGAACTGAAAATGTCTGGTGAGAATCCTAATCCATTATTAAAACATATTTTAAAAAATAAATAAAAAATCTTTCAGTCGTCTAATCCCAGGCTAATTTTTGAAACTCTAATCATATATTTGTTTTGTTTTAAAAATGCACAGAATATAATTCGCTGTTTATCTGAGGCCTATTTATCTAGTCTATTTTATTTAATCCTACAGGCTGTTTCCACATGCATGCATGCACACACTGTCACATATACACACACATACAAACACACTAACCTTCTCGGTGCTCTTGATGTCACAAGTGATTCCATGCAACACCAGGTCTAATCCAGGTCTGTAACGGACCTTGTAGTTTTCAAACTGCAGCCTTCCTGTCTCTGGCCAATTTTTTGGAGGCCGAGAGTCAGTTATCCACTTAGCCTTGTCCAAACACAGAAAAGAAAGATGTGTAATGGTGCAGAAGTTGTCCGAATGAGCTATGACAGATCTTTCTATTTCTAGATCTAAGTGCTTAAACGTTTGGAAAAATGACATGAACATAATTAAAGCCAAGAAAAATAATGAATTAAAACAACAAAAATGACACCATTTGAAGATATTTCGAAAAAGTTCCCAGTGCTTGAGATCAAAAACCTATACAGGCAATCATATTTATTTACAGTTAAAAGGAAGGGAATCAAAGACAAATAATGTTCCACTGCCCAGCATCTCAAATGTACATCCTATTCCAGATCTGATATAGGTGTCTGGTCTTTCACCATAGGTATGAATGAGAACTTGTTCATAATGTGTTGTGCTCATGCACAGAAACGTTCTCACATCAATAAGATTCAAGGCTCAAGGCTTTTATTGGTCACAATAAAGGCCATAATGTATTATGCACCTGTTCCAGACCGAAATGATAATAATAACAATAATAATAATAATAATAAAAAAAATAATAATAATAAGAAGAAGAAGAATATGAAAGAATAAAACACAAGAAATATATATATATATGAATATATATAGATAGATCGAAAGAAGTAAGCAAAATAAATACATCAAAGTGTCAAATAGTGCAAAAAAGAAATAAAATAAAACAAAAAAATATATATATATATACTTAAATATACACACAAGGTGACCTACCTCATTCTCAATCGCCGCGTATTCGTTCACTCTCTCCACAGCTACAATATTGTTTTCCAGCTCTGAGTTCATCCTCACTAGCCAATTTAGCGTCTGTGTTATCTGTAAAGCACCAGCAGGAGACAGGACTGTGTTTATCATTGCCACCAGAACATTCCTCTTCATCACTGTGATTATAATTGCATTGACATTAACATTATCATTATGTGCGGTGTGCATGATAGCAGTGTTGATGACTAACATTAAGGGCGTAGGATATAGACATGCCAACCAGGCCGCTGTCCAGAGAGTCTCTGGAAATAACAGCAAACAGCGCAGAAAAAAACACCACCATATTTCCGACGGACTCGAGACGGATGGCCAGCCACCTGCAGAATAAACAAGCATAAAGTGACTCTCACACACACACACAAATGGTGTCATCTTTTCCCATCCCATTGGTTCTCTGAAAAACACATTAAAAGGAGAACATGCTTGAACGTGTTGATGATTTGTGTTTGCAGGTACCCTGTTCATATCTGACCTGTTCGACACTATCCACGGGTAGACGCTCTTGAGGTTTTCATCGATAGTTATTTCGTTGTGTTTAAGAAACCTGTCTTGATGCTTGTAGGCTCTTATCACTGATAGACCTGACACTGTCTCACCAAAGTGAGAGTATATCGGAGAGCGAGACACTGAGTCCAGCCGACGCAGCTGTCTTGAAGTGGCTATGTAGAAGCGCTGGGTGCAGAGAGAGGGGAAAAGAAATCAATGAAATAACAGAAGGGTAATTCAGATTCTCTTTATATGTGGGACAAGTGTTTTTTCTCCTTTTTTTATATTTAATATTTTGTGTTAAATAAATGTCTCTTCCTCTTTAACATTTTTTCGCTTGCCGTGTTTGTTTCTTGTGCTGTTTTGTTCAGCTTACCTGTACAAAGTAGTAAATCAGGGCCAGAGGAATGAGGACTATGGTGAAGTATGGAGTTGCCAGACAGATGACAAACAGTGTTCCCACTACGCCCAGCAGACACATGAGCCAGGAGCGGAAGGTCTGAGGAATGGCTTCATCTATGGTGAATATGTCCTTCAGGACCAACATTAGGAATGTTAATCTTCAACAAAATGTATAACAGGAACCTATGACAGTTCTTTAATAATAGAATCCTTTATTATCTATTGAAATGTCAGAGTTCCCGCTGGACAAAGAAAAAGCAGCATCACACAAAGAACTGAAATCGAGTTTAGAGGGCTTCAACAGTGCTTGGTCCATGCAGGGGGGCTTATTTTTATTCCTGCTGATTGGAAGCCATTAAATTTCCATGATAATAAATGCTGTAGGCAAAACTGACAACCACTTTAAGGATCAAAATTGACTTTTAAAGGATTCATCTCCGGGGTCCAGCAGATTGCACTTATACATCGTGCCATCCAGCTGTGATAACATTGCACACACTTGTTCAAATTGCGCTTATACGATTTAAAGAGCAGATACAGTTGTATTTGGGGAAATTACAGATGTTGTTGATTTTTGAAGTTAAATGCAGTCAGGACTGCTCCTGTGACCAATACACATTAAATTATGCATTTCTTCAAATGTTACTTTTAATAGCAGGAATCTGTATTTCTAAAACTAAACAAGAATTGTTGTATGTGTATACAGCGCGCTCCATAATTATTGGCACCCCTGGTTAAGATGTGTTCTTTAGCTTCTAGTAAATTCAGTTTTTTTTCTAAATAATATAGGACCACAATGAAAAAAAGAGGAAAATTCAACCTTTAATTCAAGTGCATTTATTCACAATTATTACAACCCTTGATGTTGATACTTTGTACAACCCCCTTTTTGCCAACAATTCATTTGAGTTGAGTTGAAGGTTACAATTTTTCTACAATTTTCAATGTGAGAGTATGCTTCTGCAATAAAAACTGAATTTAGTTTAAGGCTTTTAACACATCTTTACCACGGGTGTCAATAATTATGGAGGGCGCTGTAAGTAACAAAAGCAAACAGCAAAAAAAAGGGAGGAAAATTATGAAAAAGTAAAATGACATATCCTACCTTTGCAAAGCGGTTGACCAGTCTTCCAATCGGTGTAGTGTCAAAGAAAATCATTGGAACTCGCAGCATGTTGTTGAGCAGTCGTGAATGCAGAGTACCAGATGCAGCAACTGAGGCATGGGCTAGCAGCAGTGTGCCAAAGAACACAAAGACGCCTACAATCAAAGTAGAGGGGTTTTTTTCAATAAGAAACTGCACTTATACAAAGCGAAATCCATTTTTGTACAAAAGCCTGATTAGCATCAGAGACAAAAGTGAAACCAATGTGAAATTTTCTCTAATTATGAAGAATTAGATGCTGCTTTTCTCACGTAGACTGATGTACTGACTGGAATTTGCCAAGAATGGTAAATAGAAGCATGATTGCATTTTATAGATTCACAAATTCTAAAAGACACATGCTTGCTTGTGCTATAGAAATTGGACAAAACTGAAGGAGAAAGGCCAGATATGGAGGAAAAAACACCTAATTGTTATGACACATCCATTAACAGTGAGAAGAGTGCTAAAAATATATCAGTGTCTTCATTATTTCTGAGAATGATTACACACTGAAAAGCACCCACATGGAAGCATCAGGTGCTATTTACTCCAGTTTCATTTCCTGTCAAATCACGTACAGATGTTCAAGCTGAGCTCTAAGTTGGCTCAGGGATTATTCTGAAGTGATGTACACATCATCCTAGCTGGTGTTTTATTATTGCTTGTCCAGCACTGAATTCAAAAGAGGTTCTTGGGAGGAACAATCTGCTGATTAAACCTGAGTAACTCTTTAGAAGTCTCAGTGTGGGAAGACAGGATACATAATCAGGTGAATTGTGTTTCAGGGTAACTGTCTTACAAACATAATTATTATGACAACAGACCAATGAGAACACAGAATGTGCCCATAACGTTCTCGTAGTAAAAAAGAAAAGAAAAAGAAAGACAGAAATAAAGAAAAAAGATTTGACAACAACAAGACATGCCTTGAACAAACATCTCCTTCTACCCTGTGAAATCTCTTTGGATGTCACAATGCAGGTGTTGAATCACTTTCCTTTCTGTGATCAAATGACTGGGAAAAAAAGTTTCATGACATGCAGCCAGGAAAGGAGCCAGTTGTGCTATTATTTTAACTGTCTTACAGCTCCTTCACATTCTCATTCTTGTAATTTATTAGTCGTTAACAACTAATCCACATCTGAAGGTCAGCACAAGGGTCCTCTATTAAGAAACAAAAGCCCGCTAGGCATTAAACAACCCTGCTGATTGTATGTCCAGCTTGTTGTAGGATTACAGCAAGATGCTCTTATGAATCAATATTATTCAATGAATTGTTAATCAACATGATTAGACATCCCTACCTTGTAGCAAAGATCAGTAAATAGGAAATATAACATAATAAAGCTCAGCCTTGTGGTGCAATTCATTCTTTCTGAGTGTACTCATGAAATGAAGAGGCCTTAATAATTAAAAAGATATCAATTCCATTCACTGACAGCCTTGACAGAAATGATTCTTACTATTTTTTTAAATTTTCTTTTTGGCTTTTGCCTTTGATTATCAGAGCCGTGGAGAGAGGGATGAAGAGTGGGGTAAGTCCTGCAGCAAACGGCCGTGATAGGGAGTCGATCGCACGACCGCAGTGTCGAGGACTACAGCCCCTGTTCGTGGGTTGCCATCTTATCCGGTTGAGCTACCGGGGCACCCTTGACAGAAAATGTAAATGTACTGTACAAAAGGTCCCCGTGTTTGCACAAGCGTATTGTTGGAATAGAAATCTAACTGACATAGTTGGTCCTCCAATCACAATGTAACAGACAAAGTGCCACTTTTTCATTACTGACTGTCAGCATCGACCAGCCCATTGTGACTTCAAGATGAATGTAGAATCTTCGGGGAAATGAAAACAAGTAAGGATGTTCACAGGTAGTGACAAGCACCAAAACCTACAAAAGTAGCTGCCAACAGTTTGAGAGATTTTATCAAAAATGTCCACAGCACTTTGTCAGTTCACATTGTCATTCTGATGTTCCTTGGGGTCTAGTGCTATAAACGCTTCTTCTTTTGTCCTCTTCAGTATTTAAACTAATACAAAATCCTCTGTCAAGTTATCTGGGCTCCTTGGCTGCCTTAATGCTATTAGGGTCTGGATGGCAGAAAACTCTGCAGCTTAATGCTGACAAGATGAAGGTTCTGGTTGTTGCTCCTGAAAAGGTTGTCCCTGGGATTGTGCAAAGTATCGGGTATCTTTCCACTGCTGCTCACCCAAACCTGCGTAATTTAGGGGTAATATTTGATAAATCCTTGTCATCTGACACTCATGTAGAGCACCTGACCAAATCGTGTTTTTTTGAGTCTCTGGTCTCCTTTAAAAGCCAACTAAACACACACCCGTTTAGACAGGCATTTGGGTAACTTGTATGCATTAGCTCTGCATTTGCTTTATTTTTGTGTAGCATTGTTGAGTTTTCCACAAAGCATTGTGCAGTTTTTGCACATGTAACTCCGTGATTCATTTGATCTGTTTTGTGTTTTCTTTCATTTTTCATATTGCCTTTGTAAAGCACTTTATGATCTTTATCTGTGAAAAGTGCTTCACAAATAAATTTGACTTATGTAATGCAGGGTGCAATAATGAGACACAGATAACAAATGAGCTGTGTTGTGCCAATGCTGCATTGCTATGACTCAGAGCTCTGCTACATCAAATTAGGCGCTTATCAGTACAGAATTGCCTGAAAAGCACACACATGGATGCCTCATGCCAGCCAAAGTCTAATGATTGAGGTAGTTAAATGAAAACTTTATGGATATAGTGTTATATTGCCAATATAAACACTCACAGATCATAAACCTTTTCTGATCTTAACAATCCAGTCCATACGAGGACACGGGTCATGCGTATGTTTTTGCATGCTTTATCCATCTCCTGAAGTGACAACATTCTGCCGTTCAGACAGAGGCCAATTTCACAGTAATGTTTGCCCAGACTTCATTCAGACAGTGACAGAATGCACATGACAGTGCACCAAGTGATGTATAATGCCTAATAATGTACTAATACACAGTAGACTGAGACTAAACTAACATCAGGCTGATCAAACCATCCAGATAACTAACTTCCTAGTTTATTTACGATTTCCTAAATGCTAAAAGTTCTGTCGATGTGTGATGATAATCTAACTACTGCTTTACCAACAGCAACATAAAAATATCCTGACAGTAGTGATGAAGCTCAGGACTCAACCTGTAACGAATCATCTGACTGTGGCCTAAAAACTGTATCTCTGTGTTGGGGATAATTAATAATTGTAAGTAATTAATGAAGTTACTTGTGTTGTCAAATGTACATAAACATGTGCACCTCTCTCTTTGTAGATGCACATATGGATGCTGCAAGTTTTTAAGAAACTCAGAGAAAGGAGTCTTTTGAACATTTGGAAGCAACAAACTAAATTTCAGCTCCGATTATTGTTTTGTCAAAACCTGGATTATATTAACTGTTGATGGGCCTCATTAATCTGTCATGTTCCAGTCTGTTTTAATTGCTAAACATTTTTTTTCTTATGGACATTTCTATTTCTAAGAGTTGTGAAATGGATGGGGAAAAAGAAAGAGCAAGGCGTGCAAACTGTGGTTTTGCAACAACATGCAGTTCAGACTCGTGCCATGTCAGAAGCGATACGGACGTGCCACTACCTCCCACACAGTAAGGATGCTGTCACGACTTTTATGGAAACGTGACCAGGATGCACATTCAGACACGTTGACATGTTCAGACGTCGTCAGATTAAAATAAAAGGAAAAAAACTATTTTCCAAAATGTCAAACTATTCCTCTACTCAAAGTACAGGTTTCACATCAAATAAGGCACTTTTACTGTTACTAATAACATTCACTGTAGAGCTCAAGCTAACTGACATGAATCTAAAAAATAGTTCCAAATAAAAAAAATAAGAAAAATGGCGGGTTATTTACCCTGAGCCACTCCAAGAGCTCCGAACACCCCCACTCTCAGGTCTCTCAACGAGGCAGGGTATGTATCGTTGAAGTACTCCACTGAATCACTGGTCCAGTCACTTAGCCATAAGTTCTGACCAACGAAAGCAGCGTTCTGGAGGAAGTATCCCAGGAAGGCCAAGGCAAAATATCCCCAGCCCAATGCTCGCATGTACTGGAGATACACTGAAAACTTCACCTGGATATCAGAGACAGAAGACACTCAGGGAACCAGTTCTAATTTTGCACCATTCATGCTTTTAAAAGAATATTATTCATTACCTGCCCTGTTTCCATATTTTCCTTCTCTATTAGCTTCTGGCCTTTCTTTATTTCACCAGCATCTTCTGTTTTATTTGCAGTACTATTTACTCTTCTTCTGACACTACAAAAGAAGACAGAACAAACTGAATAAGAAAACAGGATTAAAGGAGTAAAAACAAAAACAGTACTTGCATGCTGTGCGTGAAGAAACAACATGAAAATTAGGTTTCTCCTTGCACTGCCACAAGATGCTCAAACCTGGTTTTACGTTGGCTGCGACGGATGCTGTTTTCTCTCTTCAGTGTAGCGGAAACTGTGTCCTCCAAAGGTAAGTCGGGTTGAATGTCTTCACTGTCAGGGATAAGTTCTAAGTCTTCAGTTTCCTGGCAACGATCTGTATAAATGTTACACACGGTGAGCTACACATGCTCGGAAATGGTAGTCATTTTAAAAATTGAGGAGATAAGATTCACACAAGGCAGTGATCACAAATATGAAGAAAGACGAGAAACATTATTTACAAGACACAAATTGAAAGTTTCAGTGACGTGCACACGCAGCATCAGTTTTGGTTATGCCTCTAAATCACAGTAACTTATACAGTCGTCCTCAAATTTCTTCATACCCTTAATATGACATTGCTTTTGAATTGTAGTTCAACAGAAATGTTTGGGAAAAACAACAACAACAAAAAAAAAACAAGCAAACAAGCATGATGGGATCCACAAACTAATATTTTGTTGAACAACCCTGTGAGCCAATCACTGCAATCAAATGTTTTCTGTAACTCTCAATCAGACTTCTGCACCTTTTGACAGGTATTTTAATTTAGTCCACTGCTCATCAGCAAAGTGCTCTAATTTGTCTGGAATAATTTATTTATTTTTTTTTTTTTTAATTATTCTTTTCAACCGCAATTCAAAAACAATGTCTTATTTCACAGAATTATAATTACGCTAAATAACTTTGCCTTTTCTTTAATGGAAGGGTATGAATAAATTTGAGGACAGCTGTATATCTAATCCACTGAGAAAAGCAAAAACAATTACCTGACTCTGATTGGCTCCGGTTCCTTTGCTCTTTGGCATATGTGTCCAGGAATTCTGAAAAAGCTCCTTTGCTGGCACGAAGGCTGTTGTATGATCCAACTTCAGACACCTGTCCATCCACTAAGACCACTATCTCATCTACATAAGGCAGGAAGCCTATTCCATGAGTCACCAGGATACGAGTCTGTACAGACAAAGACACAGCTGTAAAATCACAAGTACTTCTGATAATAATAATAATAATAATAATAATAATAATAATCAATGTATATATGTTGTGCATTGTGTATCTACTAGTGGGTCTATGGGATGATTGTAAATCTACCATAACATTTTTCTTTAGTTAAAATATATTCATATTCTGACGTGTTTGCCATCAATGCTTCATTATTCAGGACTTTACTTTGAAATATACAACTTCAAATAGTATTTCCTTTAATTTGAAATGTAAACAGCACAAACCTTATCTTTGAGTATTCCCTTTGGTCCAATAACTTTGTCGAAGAGATGCTTCCCGACATGAGCATCCACAGCAGACAAGGGGTCATCTAATAGATAAATATCAGCTTGATTGTAGGCTGCTCTGGCCAAGCTCACACGTTGCTTCTGACCTCCTGAGAGGTTGATACCCTGAGAAGAAAGGCGAGAGAGGAGAGGAGATGAACAACACAAGACAACATTAGGGCTAAACAAAAAAAAAAAAAAAAAGAAGCTTCTCTTCATACAAGGAGCTACAGTAAGTCGTGCATTATTATATGTTTGAGAGCCTTCATGTCAGAAGGAACAGTTTCACCACCAGCACTGGAGCTACATTTAGAAGGAACAATACCGCAACTCGGAGAAAAAGTAGCACACATGGTAATATTTCGACGTGGATGTATTAGCATGTGTATTAGCATGTTTCAAGTGAATTTTAAAAAAATGAAAAAGGAATGTTGAAGCGCATCTATGAGGTAAAAATTTAACAAATATATAATAAAATAATGGCAAAAAGATGCAACAGCGGGTAGTGTAAGCTGATCTGACCAGCAATCAATGTCATACTGGTTTTAGATACACTCAACATAAACAGCACACAGCATGGACCCACCACAACATACCACAGTACTTATCTGATGATTATCACACTTAAAATCCTTGAAACACTTGAACTCACTTTCTCTCCAATCTCAGTCTGATCTCCTCCAGGCAGAAGCTCCAAGTCGGGGGCGAGGGCACAGGCCTCGATTATCTCCTGGAACTTCTTTTCCTCATGTGGGGAGCCAAACAAGATGTTGTCCTTCAGAGTAGCATTTTGGATCCAGGCTTGCTGTGGCACAAAGGCAAGAGAGCCCTGGACAGAAATACAGAGTCAGAGTCAGAGTTCCTTATAACTACACTATTGTCCAGCTCCTTACATGAAGGTGCCCATATAGGATTTTCACTCAGACCAAACATTACTCTGGCAAAGAGAAAAATACCAACACACTTTAATAGAAAAGATTAGAAAGCCTTGATCAATTACATTTTTCAGAGAACAGGTTGAAGAAATGTGTTGGCTGCAGCAACCTTCCCTCTTTGTGCTTCTCAAAGACTAAAACAAAGTACCCTGTTCAATATGGCTCAATCTGTTCTTAAATGAAGTGACGCAAAAGCTTTGAATTGTGTTTCTATTATTGCTGTGGCACCTGCATCTCATTTTGGCCTTGGCTGATATTGTGGTTTCATGTTTGTCTAGTGTTTGTTTTACTTCTCATAGATCGTCATTGTTTTTCAGTCTTTATTGTAATCTAACCCTCAATGACAGTAATGACTACTTCTGTATTTTTAGTCACCAAATAAACTCAGTGAGTGATTCAATCAAAACCTGGCTGATTTCCATTGCATATAATAACCTACTAGAAAAACAGGAGTGATAACATCCTGAAAAATTCTGGCTTGACACGATGAGAGAACACTCTTGAACCACTTGTGCACAGAAGAGTATTGAATATTCAATTATTAGTACAGTGAAGAGACCAACGTGCTACGCTAATTATTTGAGTACTTTGGGTAATTACAAATTGTCTGCACGAGTGCTTTTAATTAACACTTCAAGAATGTTTTGCATATCACATGATATTTTCTAAAACCACTGTTTCTGTAAGACAGATACGAAGACAGAAATAAGATGTTACCAGAATGTTGACAAAGCCTTTAGTGTTGTGCATCTCTCCAAGCAGTGCTGAGATAAGAGAGGACTTCCCTGAGCCAACAGCTCCCACTACTGCTACCAACCGACCAGGTTTAATGTCCAAGGACACACTGGGAAACACACAGAGAAAAAGTATAGCAAAGTGCTCTAAACACAGTACTGATAAATACAGATTTTGCAGCCATATGTTGCAATATGGAAATGTCGGACTTTGTGCTTTAAAAAGACATACTTTTTCAGCAGAGGCTCAGCTTCTTTCTCCCAAGCAAAAGAACCGTCACATATGCTGACAGCAGAGCCTAATGATTGAACACAGATGGACAGAGAAATGAAAACAGATGCATAGAGAGCACAAATAGGAGCTGTACACGCACAAATAAACTGGTGAACAAACTTCACTGCTCAGCAGACAAAAAAGGTGTAAATGCTCAATTGTTAACGTACTGAAACTGGGGTCATGACGCACGATGTCGGCCTGGAGCTCTTCACCAGACAGAAATTTCTCAAGTCGCTTCCTAGATACTGCTGTCTGAAGATTCAAAGAAAAGAATAAGTGAGATTCTGCTCATAGGTTTGGTATCTGTGCACATTCCACGTATTGCTGTTCCCTTACCTGAACCATGGCAGCGATGAGCATGGGCAGCATGGCCAGGGGAAACCGGAGGATGTTAAAGAGTGAGATGGAGGTGAAAGCTTTTTCAGCGGTTAATACGTTGTCTTTGCTCACAGCTACAAACACTGCAAATGAGACCACTGAAACCTGCATAAAAGGGAAGAGAAGAAAAGAGAAAACTTACTTTCCTGGTCTGGAGTTAAGCATCTAGAGAGGGTATTGCCCTTTTCCCCTTAGCTCCTCTGATTGACCCCTTTGTAGCAGATGTGCACTCTGTAACTTGTCTCATGTAAACCTCGTTGTAGGAGAACAGGCAGGCACCCCCTGCACCTCTCAAGGCCAGATTACACCAAGGCACCGAGCTAATTTTGTTTCCCTTCCACCGACAGATCTGTATCTGGCCCCCATCGAAGGAGGACATAAGGCCCAAGGTGTGAGAGAATTGATGCTGGTATTGCGTGCGTGAACTACTGTTCTGTTAGTGTCACGTCTCCTGATATCAATAAACCTTATTTCAATTTAAGTCATCTGAGTCTCCGGTGTGTCTCTCTGTGTCGGGTTCCTCATCCTACATCAAACTTTTCCAGAATTTCCACAACATATACTGTCCTTGACCAGCTGTTTATTGTCTCTTTGTGAAGCTCCTTCAGAGGACTCACCAGAGCTGGGGCGCAGCTGAAAATGAAGGTGGAGAAAGACGTGAGGTAGGCAAACTTCCTCATGACCTTCAGTTCTTGTTTCCTAATGCCTTCCACCTGTTCCTGGAAAGATGGCTCCCATGCATACAGCTTCAGAATCTAGTGAGGGATGAAAGACAAAGAGGGCATTGTGGGAGGGGACACAGAAAAGGAAGGGCGGCGGAACAAAGCACTTATATTTTACGTAGTCAATACCAATAAATCACAGGTGCTGAATACAATTTAGTAGAAGGAACTGCAGACTAACTAACCAACCATTATATTTTTTTCTTGCCTTTCATGTGAGCAAGGCCTCCAAGAATTTTATAAAGGAGTACAGGTGCTCACCTTGATGCCATTGAGTATTTCATTCATGATTTTCAGTCTCTGGTCTTTAAGCTTCATGTTCTCAATCTGAAAAGAGATTGAAATGTAAATTAGCAATTAAACGTACCTCCATGTTAAGAGACAATACAGCAAGAAAAAAAAACATTCCAAAGCAGCCAAAAGGAGAAGTTACTGTGTCGCAGACAACCTTGAAACCCCTCAAATCTGTTTTATATTTCTTTGAAAATGTATTTATCATAAATACAAAACAATGATAACATAAAATGCAAGCTACCTGGTCAGCATACACGACTGATTTGGTGACAAGAACATCTGTGCAGCTCAGGAGAAATTGAGAGCCATCAGACAACACTGCATTTTGTGAGCCTGTGCCTGGTGCAGCCTCAAATTTCTGATGTGGACTGACCCTGACATGGTTCACTGCTGTTGTAATCTACCTCAAGCTTGTATGTGTGAGCTTTGACACTCACCACAGTTGTAAAGAGTGGTTGTCTGAATTACTGTAGCCATTTTGTCACATTGGCCACTGTCCTCACTCATCATCAGTGCATTTCCACCTGCAGAACTGCCACTCACTGTACGGATTTAGTTTTTTTCCACTATTCTGAGTACATTCTACAGAAACCAGCCTGTCTGACACCGGTAGTCATGCCACGTTCAAAGTCACTACGATCATATTTTTCCCATTCTGAAGTTTGATGTGAACATCTGAAGCTACTGACTTGTGTTGAAATAAACAACTTATGGCTGAAAGTCTAAGAAAACTGCTCTAAAGGCCCCATTGCACAGTAATCAACCATATTATAAACAAAAAAATTTATGTAAATAATTTTCATTGAATATTTGTGCACCCTATAGAAGAGAGACTGAATTTCGAGCTTGCAGTCTTGAGCTAAACTGTATGAATCCTTACGTTTTTTCAAATCTGGCTCGGTATCTCACTATGGGAAGCTTTAGCTCAGAGGGGGAAAATGATCTTGTTAGGAGCGTGCTTGTGCCTGACAGGGCTGATGGCCTCGGTAATCTCTGTCATTCCAGAGGGTTTCTTAGGATGCGTGATTTCCAGCTCTGAGTGTCCTTCCTGCACCTTGACACACTACATCATCTCAGAAGTGTAATGAAAGTTTCCCTGGAATGTCTCCTGGCTCTCTGAATGTGATTACTGTTGTTCCACTCGAAGCGGTGGTTGTGAAGCAAATCTTGACAATGGAAGCTGCGTTGATAGGTTAGAGGAATTTTTTTCGAAGGGAGGGCCACGGATGGCACCTGGCCTCTGAGTCCCCTTTGTGCTCATCTGAATTGCCTGAAGTTGTTGTTTTTCTTGCTATAAAACACTTTTTTCTCTTGAGAGAATGTAATGTCTTAGTCAAGAGACAATACAACAGTGGGTGCATTTGTAAACCAGCAGGGGGAACCCACTATAAAACATAACGGACTGATGCACATGTGAAGCAGTAACAACAAACGTCCTTAGTGTGGGCTCTTAGCCGGGTTCCAGCCCTCGGGGTGGGCTTGTGGTGTAGACCTGCCTAGGTTGAGGTGTTTTTCAACTTCAAAGTATGCAATCTGGGAGTGGGCTACATCTGCCATAGTGGGATACAGATGGTTACTATGGTAACTAGGGATGTGTCATGACCTCCCAGCCTCAGCCCCAGCCCTTGCCTGTCTCCCTCTCGTCTCCCTCCTCTCTCTCTCTCTCTCCCTCTCTGCCCCATGCATCTCAGCACTAATCCAGGACAGCTGCAAATCCGGACTCATCTGCCCACAATCACCACAGCTCCCATAAAGACTCGGTTCTTTCCACCACAAGCTGCCAGACCATAGACATTCCTCCCGCATGTTTCTGCCAGTCCTCACTCTGTCTCCAGCCTGCATCCCCCCAGCCTGCTTTCTCCTGCTACCGGTTCCAACCGGGATTCTCCGAGCCTGTCTGCCCCCTCCATTTTTGTCCCCTGTCTGTGAGTCGCCCCGTTTGTTTGAGTAGCTTTGTTTTGTATCTTAGAGTTCTTTTTTTTTTTTTTTCTCCTCTGTTCTTTGTTTAGAGTTTTTTTAGGTTTTTCTAGTTTTGCCCACTTCGTAATTCAGTTTGGTTTTCCTGTTCTGTTTTCCCCCCCTCAGTTTAGTTTCTGCACCTCAGTTTAAATTCAGTTTTTATCCTTGTTTAATAAATCTTTGTGTACACATCACCTGCCTGCCTGATCTGTGTCCTCACCTGGGTACCCTGATCCCCCACAGTGAAAGGATGTCCCATATTGGCTTTTCTGCCAATATCCGACATGCCGATATTGTCCAACTCTCAATTTCCAATTCCGATATCCACAGATTCCGATATGTTTGTTACTTGTTTACATGCTTCACAACGCAGTTTGATGTCGTCATCATTTGCATGCCAGCGAAATCCAGGCATTATTTTATCGGTTTTCATTTTGGGCAAAAAAAATCGATAACAATATTAACAGATATTACATTTTTATTCCAATATCGGGCCGATAATATCGGTGAGTCGATATTATCGGACATCCCTAATGGTAACCCTAGCCCACCTAAAACTGAGTGAGGTATCTCATCGCGCAGCTCTACTAGTTTGGGCACATAATAGAAATACATTGAGCCTGACTGGTGTTGGATGAAGGAGACCTGGTGTCAGTTTAAGTGACAGTTTTTAGACAGAAGTGGTAGCAGTGGAGCTTTTATGATATTTTTAATCTGGTAAACAAATGTTATGAGTTACACTTAAGTGCAACATATTTCTAATGTCACTGACATATTCACTCATTATTTCTTTAATTATATTAAAGGCAACAAAATATCCGTAAATGTAAATGCAATTTAAAACTAAAACTGTGTTATTGTTGGTATGTACACTATATGTACAAATAGTGTAACAGCTATCCTGTTTGCAGTTCTGCTCACCTGGATTTTTCTGGCCTTGGTGGCTAGCAGTCCATTGACTGGCACCATTAGCACCATGACTGCCAGTCCTGCCAGTACAGAAGGTCCCAACTCCATCCATAGGAATACAATGGATATGATGATCTGCAGTGGGCAGGACCACACCAGGTGGATGAAGTTGGTCACATCATTGAAGCGCTGGGCATCTGCTGACATCAGGTTCACCGTTTCCCCTACTGTCGCCTCTTTACGAGTGTCGTTATTCACGACTAATGCCTTTTAAAAGAGGTGAAGAAGACACAACAGGGTGAGACTGAGAAGGAAAGGAAGACCTTTTGGGTTTGTTTTTTTTAATCTCGTGATCTTGCGAATGAACAAAGTGGCATGGAGCTCGCTGAGACCAAGCAATCTGTCAAAATTTTGCTCATCAAAACAAATACTCTACAAGACAGTAAATAACTCGTGAAATTGCTGTCGAACGATACTAGAGTAGATGACACAGAACCCACACAGACGTATCCTCTTTCAGTGACAATAATTTAGTCATTGCAGGTGTTTGTTGTGGTTTCTTCCAGTGTGAGGAGTTAGAGTAATTGTGTTTTCTTTCATGCTGTAAATTTCAGGGTCACTCTTGTCTTTACCTTTTTGTACACAGCAGCCATAATTGCAGTGCGAACCTTCATTCCCAGCACAAAGCAGCGCTGGAAATACTGCTGCAGAAACAGTGTCTGGAAAAGGGCTGTCACTAGCAGCAGTACTGCATACAAATACCCTTCCCAGGCATAACTGGTTTTGTCCTGAGTGAAGGCGATCATCAATCTAAAAAAAAAAAAGGAAAAGAAATTGTTAATGGACCATCTGAACATGTGCTACTATATTTCCAGCGTTTAATTACAGTTATTTACCTCTGAATCATGTAATACATTTCAACCTTCTTTTTTTTTTTTTCTTCTTCTTCTCTCACCGTTTCCTCTCTCCTTTCAGGCACTGGTGTTATCAGTTGATGTTTAAACTAATCAATGGCTAGTGAATAGTTAAGCTGAAGGTTCAAGGCCAGATCCTGTGTTTTTAAAAGTTTTGAAGGGGAACTCCACTGTTTTGAAGAGTCATTGTTTACAGATTTTGGGGAATGCTCTGCATATGTGAAAAATGCTTCTGGTGATTCAAGAGGAAGCTGAACAACGTCTGATGAACTCCCTTTCAAGTGAGAACTCTCTTGATTTATGATTGGTAAGTGACCAAACCTCACTGGTCCATTCTTTAGCTCGTCTTGAGCTTCAGATTAGACTAGATTACATTAGATTCAACTCAATGAACTGGGACGTGCTGCTACATGCTCTATTTACCATTTTTTGTGCATCATAACCAAGTTTCTGAGCAAATTATTTGAGTGATGCTACTTTGTGGCTGATTTAGGAGCAACATTTTGATGAGACAAGCGCATGACAGCTACCATAAAGGTGATTTTTGTAAGTCTTGTCATTTCGATTTAAATACATTTTTAAGTGTCTCATGAGCCAAACAGTGCTGTTGGGATGCAATAAGTTGTTGGAGCAAGTAACATTTACAATGTGTAATTACATCTGGTGCTCTACGGTTGAGGTTTGAAAAATAATGCACAATTCTCATTTTTGTTTTTCTATGGCCTTTTCTTCTCCCAATTCAACACCGTTGTATACTGTATACAGCTGCGAGTTTATTGGCCCTCCGTTAATGATTGCAGGGAGTGTTTATAGAGTAAAGGTACAAACAGCAATAAACTTCAGAAACATTTTTTGATGATGATGCAGAGAAATTTCAAAGTTTCAGGTTTGAATTATGTCTTTTTTTTAAAAAAAAATACAGAACAATAAAATAAATTGAAATTAAAAATAATGTATACACGTTTTTTTTTAGCTGACTGGTTTAGATGCTGAAGACAACTGAGAAAGATTAGTGAGAGATTTTCAGTTGAGGTGATTTAATTTAAAGTCTGACTTACTTAAGCAGTTGAGGACTGATGAAAGTAAGCAGGTCCTGAATAAGTTTGAAGAAAGCTGATTCAATCAGAAGCCATTTAAAGGATTTGTAGATGGTGGCGATCAGCCATGAATTGGGGTAGTTCTGTTCCTCCTTCTTCTTGTCCTTTTTCTTATTCTTTCCATCTTCTTTCTTGCCTTTTTCCTCCTGAAGCAAAATATGGTTGAGGCACAGTCTTTAGCCACACACACCATCCCTATTCAACAGTTTATCTGAAAGATCATCAGTAGTGTGACTAACAATAGAGTGCAAGACATTGTACTATCCATGTGTGTGCAAGTGTGTGTTCTTCTGCATGCTCTCACCATTATCAGCACATCTTGACTCACACCTTTCCCCAAACCATTGGAGAGGCCATTCTGAATGGCTTCATCCCGGGCTTTGTCTCTGCCTTTAACACCTGTCTTCTTCAGCTTGTGTTGGAACCGAATTCGAGCTTTACTCAACTCGGAGTCCATGTGATGCTGAAAATCGTGGCTGATGTAAGGAGTGCTATCCCCCTCGTTCAGCTCCCACATGTCTTCCTGCACCAGGGGCCTTTTGTAGCCTTTCACTGTCATACTGGACAAAAACAAGGAAAGTTTTTAAGCCATTGTGCAAACATGGGTGCCAGGGTTCATACTGTGGCAATTTCGTGTTTACCTGTTGAGCCAGTGGAAAGTGATTCTGCTCCAAAATGGTGCACCTGCTTCAGGATTCTGTGGATTTAAAAAAAAAAATAAAAATACCACACAGGTGCATTATGTTTACAAAAGGTTGAGTTAATAAAGGTTTGGGGTATTGAATTTGGTCTATGGTTATGAATTCCAGCATGTCGTGTACCTTTTTTACACGCTCCTTAGCTTCTGGAGGGATGTCAGCCACAGCAGAGAGTATAAATGCAATGAATTCCAGCCCAAAGGAAATGTAGAAAAGGCAGAAACGAGGGACATCACTGACCTTTCCCTTATGGAAGAAAGATGGAGGGAGAGGGAGACACAATAAAGAATGGTATATTCTTGCTAAATGTGGATATCTGAAATGCATCAAAATAACAGACTGAATCTGAGTAATTTACCACTTATCTACGCATAACTCCTTATTCCCATCTTGAACACATTTCTTTATTCATACCTGTCTCAGTGCCTCTCGCAAGAGGGTCTGGAAAGGGAAAATGTCACACAGAACAAGGAGGAACCAGAAACAGAAAAGAGTGGCAGAGTCGACTGCTCCTTCCCTCCGCCTCACTCCTGCCTGGCACAACATCACAAGGATCTAACAAAGAAAACATGTCAGAAGACACAAAAACCTGTAACCTTTGCATCTTGACCACTAGAGCAATACATAAATGTAAAAAAAAAAACAACTGCTAAATTTACCCATGAGACAGCGTAGAGGACAGGATTTGCGTAGAATACACCAGCATTTTTCACTGTTGATGAGTCACTGTTCGGACCAAAATCCTCTCCTAATGTGACTCCGAGGCCCGCAATGGCCGTCAAAAACAACAGAGACACGACAAACTGAGGAGAGAAAAGACGGACAAGATAAGCAAATACGTCACATTGAGGTCCAATTCCACACAAAAGCGTGGTTTGATCATTTTTCTTCTCATGGATTTTTGAGTTCCACGGCAAGGAATGATGTATGTACAGTATGTGGAGAGTTTGACGCAAGAGGCTGGTATTTTTATCTACTCACAGCTAAAATGTGCACATCAAAGATGATTCTGTGTCATTACAAGAAGTTTAAGAAGCAGTCGTTGTATGGAATTTACAAGTGTGATGTGGACATCTGAAACCTCCAAGGATGTGTAGGAGTAATGTAATTAAACTCTTGTGCACCACAAAGCAATTATTATTCCATGTAAAGCATATATGAACCTGTCTAGATGTTCTGATCCAATGCAAAATAGATTACTGAGTTATGAATACAGTTCTATTTTTGGCTGCATTGGAAGAAATGTCTTAAAGGTCTCATATTGTTCTCCTTTTCAGCAAATTAACGTAAGTCTCATATTGTGTCTCTAAAATTTTCATCTCAAAATACAACAAAGATGGGTCACTTTACCATGACTGTATGACCCCAAAAGCCTGTCCAACAAAGCAAGTTCAGAATACCTGTGCTATCTTTTTGTTATCAGGATTTACTAAACCTAAGTTAATTAAGTCAACCCAGAATTCCCAAATCTAGCTATAAGAGCTTCTACATAAAGAGTTAGCACCAGATGAACAATCACAGATATAGACAGGTTCAGAACAGAACATTTCTTACAAACTATAATCTTAAACCAGTCTAAGGAATTTTAAAACATAGTAGAGGCTAAAACCAACATAGATGTTGGGTTATACTACTGCAGCCCAAACCATTATGGAAGCCGACAAAAAACTGTGAACGTGAGTCAGTAGGCTCATGAATATTATTGCCTTTTATCAGGCACGATCAGATGAATGTTTTAATTTTGCATAAATTGCTTAGATGTAAGTGTCTCATTGAACATTTAAATTATGATTATACAACACAAGAGTGTGTAACAAATTTACAGATGTAATCCCTTCATGCTATGATTATGTAAAGAATAAATAATCAAGTTATAAAAATAAAACTATTTTCATCATGAAACAGAGAATAAATTCTGTAATCTCACATTCTTTGTGATATAGTGTGTAAGGCGGTTTTAGTCTTATTCTTTTAGATGTTTGGAAAGAACTTTGGAAGCGAGTGAAGAACAAATATAAAAACATTATTCAAACCAATAGGTAGGTTCACCAAAATCAACAAGTGCAAGGCTTTACTGCTTTATCAGTTTGTTTTTGTATTTTATCGATATATAAAGGCTTACAGAACAATGAAGTGGCTGAACAATAAACAATGAAGTGGCTTTGAAATTGCAGCTCTGAAACCCCTCACCCTCCTCGGAGACTCTCTCATACTACTGGCAGTACAGTACTGTTCAGCTCTGATCTTCCAGGAATAGTGATGCCATTTTCCAAAAGAACTGATTATTCAAAAGGCATTTTACTATACACTGATTTGTTATGTTAGGTAAGAAGTGAACAACCATTATAGTCCCGAAAAAAAACCCCAGAGTTACCTGAAGTTATCCCAAATTCAGCTAGTTTTGAAGGAGAGGACTTGAGGAATGGCAGACGTGAGCCTCCAAATCATAACCAAGTTTATAATAACAAAACACAATAAAAATGGATTTTCACAATATGGGACCTTTAAGAATTAGCTTCCTCTTCTTCCGTCTCAGCGTCACATTATGATTAAAATTATGTATCTGTTTGTGTTTTATTGCTGTGTGCATTACCTGTTTGCAGAGATAGAGCCTGGACAGGTGCTTTGTGTTTACTTGGGTTTTCTTGAACAGAGACAGCAGGTGCCGAGGGGCACAGAGCCACAGGAATCCCAGGGGGATCCAGACCAGAATGGTCTGCTCCACACATGGTGGGAGGTCTGGATCTTTTCTATCCAGATATGAAGCATTCTGAAGGGCACATACAAACACACACATACATCACCCACAGGACCATGCTGCCTTCCTAATCTCAAAACAGCGGCAAATACATGAATATTTTCATATCTCTCTGCTATGGAGATCACACTATATTACACCACAGGGACAGCCTGTACCTCTCTGCTCAGAAATCTAATCAACAATGACCCACATGTGATTAAAATTAAAGCCCCCCACCCTGCCCAGCTCACTGCTCAGTGTGAGGTATGTTTATTTTGCACGTTTAGATGTGAGAGAGATAAGCAAACAGGAGCTAATGAACTGACAGGAATGGGCACTGAGGAGTTTAATGTGTTGTGAGGCCAAAACAAGCCTTGATACTGTATGGAAACTGTGGTGTTTTCAAAACAATTAAAATATATTTAAGCATTTCCTGAGTATGAGGTTTCTGCTGTCTGTTGTGTGACCATCTGTTGACAGCAGAAGCTACGATACCTTTTCTAGTGGTACAATCTGAACATCTATATGTGAGTCTTTTGGATTTCTGGAGCGCACAGGCAGTCCTCAGTTAGTGTGAAGGTATTTTACTCTGAGCAATTACGTGGATGCTTTATGAGCTAAATGGTTACATTACCCCCTGAGGAAAATTCATTTGACGCAAGCTAAAAATTGGTTTAATTTTCAACTAACCGACTAATTTCTGCTGGCAGTTTAATCTACAAAGTGTAAAAAAAAAACAAAAAACAGGTAAAAAGAAAAACAAAACTTTGACATCTTCAGGTTTTATCACTACCTTAAAATCCAAAACCTTAGAAAATATAAAAGTAGCAAATTCTCTCATTTCTAAAGCTGAAACCAAAGCGTGTGGAGCATTTTCTACCCTATTTATTTATATATTTTTTGGTTTAAAAATAGCATCAACAATTACTTGATTACAGTTGAAAATAATTGTTTTAATTCTTTCTTTTTTTTCTTTTTTTTTAAATTGCTGTGCTTCCTAAGACTTCCTAGAAAAAATCCTGCAACTGAAAAGGGGGAAAAAAAAGAAGTTAAATAGCAAAAATAGCTAAATTTTTTTTCTTTCATTTGTTTTATTACATAACAAAAAAAAGACCATTACAAGAATACAAAGTTTAAGCTCATAAACGTGTTAGACATGTTGAGTCATGTCCTCTTTAGGTGTCATTACTGTCCACTCACGTGGTCACTGTGTCTGTACAGAGGTGAATGAGCACCAAGATATCACCACAGATTTAAAAAAAATAAAATAAAAAAATCTCTATAAAACAATAAGCAACTTCAGCAACTCCTACTATTTGTTAGCTACAAACTTTTTCAACAACCTTCATAGTTACAGCATATGCTGTGGTGGACTGACAGCTGTAGACGTTAACTTTTATGACAAATCTTACAATGTTTACCGTCTTTGAATCAGTTTAAATGTGGCTATCACTGCCATTACGTCAAAAATATCAGAAAAGACGACTTTAAACAAACACTGTAGCACTAACTTAGATGATAGGAGGTGGCTTTGTGTCCACCCTCTGTAATACTATCACTAAACTTGTGACAATTTACAGTAAAGATTACTGATTACATGAGCCTGCATCAAATATTAATGAATATTTTTCATCTGGAGAACCTAAAAACACTGAAGGCCGTAAAGAAGCCATTTCCCACAATGCTTGTCTGAGCCGCAGTGACTTTGTGTGTTGAACTCACCCAGAAAACGGACCCACAGTAGTCTTCCAGAGGTGCAGCACACATGGTCCGCTGTGATGGGCTCAGCCGACCGTAGCTAACTAGACAACCAGACGCCTCTTGCTCCCTTCTCCACCACTGCCGAGGTCAAACACTGCTACTCTCTCTCCCTGTTTATCCAGAGACAATTGCAGGATGTGGCTATGAGGGACTTTGATCCATGGAGGTTCTAAGCAGAGACAAAAACATTCGACATCCCTGTGCTGAGAAAACACATGAACCTGCTGGAGATGAACTGGACTAGTGAAAAAATGAAAAGAGTTAACGCTGGACTTAAGGCAGAAGTTCTCAAAGTTTATTCTCTAGCGGTCCTCGGTTACTCGTCTGCCTGCTCCTCCTGATGAGCAAATGCGAACCCTCAACAGATGCAGCCAAAGACACTGACAAGATCCAGCTTTGTACCAGCCCACAGACACTCCTCAACGCCCATGTGTCTAAAGTTCAACATTTTATGTAGATGAGTGTTTGAAAGATAAAAAAAAAAAAAAGAGAGAGAGAGAGAGAAAGAGAGAGCGACAGAAGGACTTGCGTAACTATTACTTTGCAGTTTTCCCTCTGTTAGGGGGACAGCCCACCACAAAAAAAAGGGGAATGTGTTTAGGGAAAGGGAGGGAGTGGTCTCATTAGACCCCTTTTCCTGTTGTGCTTCCACTTCTCTGCATGCCTCTCCACTCTCTGGACCGAGACCCATGTTTTTGGAAGTCAAGTCAGATTCAATCACACTCGTAATTAATCTGCTTAGCTTCAGGCAGCCATGCGTTCAAATGAGGCTGCTGAAGGTGGAATCTGCTGAAATGTTGTTTGAAAAAGACGCAAAACTGTCAAAAAGGGCTGGTGGGACGAGATCTCTTTCATGTTTTCTATTCTGATCAGGAGGACGGCCGACAGAGTGCATGATGTAAACAAGAAGTTAAAGTAAACGAAACACTGAATACAGATTTCCTTCCCTTGTTCGGTAACGTCCTGGAGCAGCCAGGCTGTTCGCTACATGGCCAGTACAAAGCTCTGGTGCTGCTGTGCCGAAGCTCTTGTTGTATTTGGCACAGTCTGAGACAGAGGATTGTCATCAGACACTGGTTCAACACAAATTCCCAAATCAAACGGGATTGCTGCTGATGTGTATGCATGAGTTCATCTCTGTGGAAACAGGGAAGGAAACACTTCAGACAAAAATGAACCCCCAGAATTGTTTTGTAGAAGTTATCATCCACGTGAATGCAACCTCATAGGATCTCCAGCTGATAAGGCAAGCGGAAACACAGCAGCATCGTTCAACTTTATACTTCTTCACCTCTGTACCAATTTCCAATTTACCATTAATAGGACTAACAAACAACTTGCAAAACAAGATTACCTCTGGAAGTGTATTGGTGATAAAGACGATAAAGCTTGTTGTAAAGTAAAATGAAACCTCAGCATGATCCATGTAAATTTGTTGGGCTGTAAATACAATCACAATGCTAAAAATACAACCTGTATAAGATAATACAATAATATGTATTACATAAGTATGTGAAAGGTCTGTCAGGGACGGTGATGATCTTAAAACAGATTACTCTGTCTGCGTGATGGTTACTCATTAAATGTTTGATAACGCCACATAGTCATAATCTGGCTCACGCACTGTGTGTAAAGTCTCAAGGACAGACATGTGACTGGGGGATACAACTCATACACAGCTAAAGAGTGGTGCCTCTGATTGATTTATAGTGCTATGATACATGGGAGTGAGCATTTCTCTATTATAATTAAGTAGCTATCAGCAATAGTGAAGGCAGTAACTTTGACAAGGACTTAATGTAATGCTGGGAGAAGCAATTTTGGAAAGGGAAGGGCAGTGACAGTAAAAAAACAAAAAAAAGAAAGAGGAAAAAAACAACAGCTACAGTTGTGTTCAAAATAACAGTGTTTTTAAAAACGTGAATAAAGCTCAAAATCCTAATAATATTTTATTTCCATTCATTGAGAACACTGCACATTATATTTTACATCAAAACATGAATAAAAATGCATCAATATTTTAATTACTTTACAGAAAATTAAGGAAAAAATATTATTGGGCTGTTAAAAAAAAATAAAAAATAGCAGTGTCTGCATTTTTCATTACAAACTCAAATATTTACTCAATAAACAGAAAAAAACGTTACGATTTAGCCTTCCTGTAAATCACTAACCTAATATTTAGTTGTATAACCACTGTTTTTGAGAACTGCTTGACATCTGTGCTGCATGGAGTCGACCAACTTCTTGCACCTGTAAACAGGTATTCCAGCCCAGGATGATTTGACAACCTTCCCCAGTTCCTCTGCATTTCTTGGTTTTGCCTCAGACACAGATTTTTTGATGTCACCCCACAAGTTTTCTATTGGATTAAGGTCTGGGGATTGGGCTGGCCACTCCATAGCCTGGATTTTGTAGGTCTGGAACAAAGATGCTGCTCGCTTACATTTGTGTTTGGGGTCGTTATCTTGTTGAAACACCCATTTCAAGGGCATTTCCTCTTCAGCATAAGGCAGCATGACCTCTTCAAGTATTTTGATCTAAGTAAATTGATCCATGGTCTCTGGTATGCGATAAATAGGCCCGATGCCACAGTAAGAGAAACAGCCCTATGTCATGATGCTTGCACCACCATGCTTCTCGGATTCAGTGTTTGGGGTTCGTCTGACAAACTGTCTGTGGCCCTTGGACCCAAAAAGAACAATCTTACTTTCATCAGTCCACAAAATGTTTCTCCTTTTCTTTTTAGGCCAGTCGATATGTTCTTTGGCAAATTGCATCCTCTTCAGCACGTCTTTTTTTTTTAACAGTGGAACTTTGTGGGGGCTTCTTGCCGATAGATTAGCCTCACATAAGCGTCTTCTAATTGTCACAGTACTCACAGGTAATTTCAGACTATCTTTGATCTCCCTGAAGCTTATCATTGGCTGAGTCTTTGCCATTCTGGCTATTGCTCGATCCATTTGAATGTTAGTCCTCCGTTTTTTCTTCCATGTCTCTCTGATTTTGCTTTCCATTTCAAAGCATTGGAGATCATTGTAGCTGAGCAGCCTATCATTTTCTGCACGTCTTTCTGCGTTTTCCCCTCTCCAATCTCCGATCTGCATGGAGTTTGCATGGTAGTCAGAAAACAATCTACAACACAGTAAGTTATCATCATCAAACTAGAATTTAATTAAAGGTAGAATTTACTACGGTAACCAAAACAACGAAAAAGAAGTGAGAAAAACTTGCAGACAAGGTGATATTTAGCCACATTAGTCTGAACAGTAGGAAATAACATCAGTTATTATCACAACATGCAGCTGATGTGTCAGAGTACGGTAACATGCTGGAAATATGTGAAATTGGCCAATTTGTTGTCCTCCAGCAGGGAAGACAGACTCAGGAATAGTTTACTTGAACTTAAGGACATGCGTGGGCATTAGAGGATCACACTCCAGCTCAGAAGGTGGCGGTGACGCAACACAAAGCCAACCGCAGTAAAAACAGTAGAAGAAGAACTGGACGTCAACGAAGAAGAAGAACAAAAAGAAGAAAGCTTACCAAACCAACCGGTTGACAACCTTTAAGTAACCAGGCTCTGTGTTTTACAGCTGCCCTGCTGGACCACCTCACCACTGGCAGACATTAGTGCACTAACATGTTACGATCTGTCTATCTTCTGACTCTGCTGGAAGTGGAGGTCAGAATCTTGATAACAGCATCAAAACAGTTTCACTTCACTGACAAGCCCAGCACATGGAACAACAGTCTTAACTTAAGACAAAGAAAGACATTTATTCCCCTATTTTTTGATTAAACCATTCTTCTGTATGAAGGAACTATTGGCTCTAATAACCTCATCAGGATCACTATTACTCTAATCCTTGAAGCTTCCTTTCTGCTTGTTTATGTGTCAACTTAGAAGTTAACATGTCTGACATATGAATGTATTTAGTTTTGATCGCCTGCCCGCCAGGAGCACAAATAAATAAATAACAATATTATACAATTTTGAAATTGTAGAAACCACAGAAATATATCAAAAGTGTAACTCTGTGAAGACATCTGGACATCAGCCCACCCACGGAGGTTGTGCCAGACTCCCTCCTGAGTTAATGATATGCATCAGTTCCTTATCCTTACCACCAAAAGCAAATTCCTCCAAATTGCTAATTAGCCTTCCATCAAATTAGCGGCTGCTTTTAGGTAGGGTCTATTCATCCCTTCCTCTTAGAATACCACATTCCACCGTAATATTGAGTGTAATATTGTGTTCTCTCTCTTCCCTGTTACTTCACTCATACTCACTGCATTGTTTGTATTGTGTTGTCTTAATGTTGCGTCACAGTATTTGTTATTGTGTTGTTCATTTCATAAATAGATAGATGTATAGATTCCACCATCAGTTTAAATAATTTCCCCTAAAATTCTTGAGGCTGTTCTTGAGGTGCTTCATATGCTGCATTATTCATTAATCTGATGTAAATAATAGGCTCCAGCCCCCCAACGACCTTAGTGAGGATTAAGCGGTGTATAGATAATGGATGGATGGATGGATGATGTAAATATTTCTCCGGTCGAATATCAGATTGTGGAATAACTCCGCATAAGCATTCAAATCCAATTTAAGCAGATATATTTTCCCTACATCACACAATGTAATAAATAATCTTTAGCTGCTGCCCTTAAAACAGTGTTTGGATATGATAGAGGAAGTGAGTGATCTGTGAAATTCCATACAATATCTACTGGTGCTAGAAAGTTAGTGAACTTTTTAGAATTTAGTAGATAAAGACAACCCAATTAAACAAATTACCCAGAAATATATACATGATCACTTATGTATTGAAGAAATTGATCCAAAATAACATATCTGGGAGTGACAAAAGGAAGTGAACATTTGCTGTCAATATCCAGCGTGAGCCTCCTGTGCAGGAACTCAACCTTTCAGACATCTGTTGATCAGTTGTGCACATTGGCTTGGATGAATTTTTGCCCATTTCTTTGTACAGTAAAGCTTCAACTCTGGGATGTCGGTGGGTTTTCTGAACTGCTCAGTTCAGGTCTTTCCACAACATTTCTATTGGTAGAAAATAGAAACGCTGACTTTTCCATTCCAACACATTAACTTTATTCTTACGTGTCATTGCTTTGATTACAGATCCACTTTCTCCTGTGATTCAGTTTGCAGACAGATATTCTGACAAGTTCCTTTAGAAATGACTCAGAACTTATTGTTCCATCACTGATGGTGAGGTGTTCTGGCCCACGTCCAAACCAAAGGTCCAAACCATCATACTAAGGCTCTTACGGTGAGGTGTTTTTCTTCTCTCCAAACATAATGGTTCTGGTGTCAAAACAAAATGTTATGTTTCGATCTCATCAACAGTTTTCCAAAAGCCCTCTGGCTTGCCCACATGAACTTTATCAAACTGGAGACAGGAAGCAATTTTCTTTTTGAATAGCAGTAGTTTGTCGTTACGACCCTGACCTGCACACCCTTGTTGTTCAGCGTCCTCCTGATGATACAACGTCGGTGTCATTGAGAATAGCCAGTTTAAGAAGGCCCGTTAGTTGTTAAGAAGTTACCTTGGTTTTCTGTGTGACCTACTGGAATGAAACACACTGTTCTTAGTCGGATCTTTTTTGGTCTTTTAGCCTTGTGTGAAAATGTGAGGATGAACTCTGTCCTTCTAGATGTTCTCCATACGTCAACAGTGAATATATACATCTTTAAGAGACTATATAACATCAAACACACTCAATATGAATACTTAAGCATCTGTTACGTGGATTTGTATGGGTTTAAAATCAATTAATGAAACTTGTTTTCAACATAAACAAATTTCGTCCGGCACCGTTTCACACTGTGCCACAGTACTTCCATGAATTAGTAGTTAAGGCATAAAAGACAGACGACCTATACAACTATGCAAGCTGACCTAAAAAGTAAGTAATTGAAGTAACTGGATAACTTGGCTCAGTAATCTCCATGTTTTTATAAGTCAACGTGACAGGTTTGAGAAGGAGTTTGGTTGTCTTAAGTCGATAAGTAACATAAAAAATCCTACACGGGTTACACTGTTTGCTAACATGATAATGGGCTGTGAAGTCCATGGCAGGTGTTTTGATTGCTTCGTGATGACTCAGTCTGAAGTGCCCGAGTGTTGACCTGCTTTCTCCCAAATACAAAGTGGAAAATTGTCCTGCAGCATGTAAATTACAGCAATTTGCTAGATTAGTTGTACCCAAATGAGCTGTAAAACATGGTGTAAAAACTGTTAAAAGTGACATCATGGTAAGCCATGTCAGTGACACGCTGTCTTTTGACCAGCACCTTTGCTTAATAGCATCACATGTTCGCTGACCCACAAACTCTTCATGTAAAAACCACCAGACTGCTGCTTGCAGGGTCACTGCAGTTAATGCAGAGAAGTTTCCATGAAAAAGATTTAGTTTAGAATCAATTCAACCTGGTTAGATAACGTAATTATAAGAGAGCAACGTGACTATTTGACGTCAAGCATTTCAAGGTTTTGGCATCTGCAGCGAATATTTTATTTTATTTTTTTTTAAAGAAATGAATCAGACACATATTTCGACTGTGGAGGTGTTTTCGAAAACATGAACAAAAAAAAAACATATTGCACTGAACTACTTCTAAGCTTTTATTCATTATGAGCAAAGAAAGCAAGTCACCATGTTGCTGTCTTCAAAAAACAACGACAAAGAAAATCACAAGAGACCACAACCGTACATCTTCCACTGCAAACATGGAGTTCTATCCATAAATAGATCAAATCCATGGCGAATGGAAAAATGCTGTTCTGAAGTGTGTGTCATATACCGCTACTTCTATGGCCACACATACAGGCACAAAAATTATAGCAACGTTGTGAGCAAATGTGTGCAGAGAGTTGTAAAGTTGTGCATGCCGAGTGCGTAGTCTGATTTGTGAACGTGTAAAGAAATCTGCCAATATTGTGGGCTGACATTTATCTTATTTATACATGCGTGAAAGAAACAGCAAATGTATACAAAATGTATAAATGTGAATATAAATCTGAGGAAAACAGTCTACCCTCAGTTTATGATCGATAGTATATGCCCTCAAAAAATGTTCATTTCAACTTCATTTTGAAAAAACTATTTACAATTTAGAAAGATAAAAAGTAATCATCTTCAAGAACTACTACATTTCTCAGGTATTTTCAAAGTTGGCTGGATTTTTTACACACAACTTTTGCTGTGCTTGGGTTCTTTCGGAGATCTGCAAATGAGTGTATGCCTGCCGACGACCGCTCCGTCGGACAGGACTGTAAGTGCTGATTCATCTACACATGTAAAAGTCAGCACACATTTACAGACAAGTTTACACATTCACTGTTTCTACACATCTCAGCACACACAGTGTAAAAATGTAGACATCCAGATCAGGATTCACAACTCTCTGCACAGATTTGCAAATAATAGTTCCCCCAAAATATCTATACACACAAATGTGTACAATAATACAAGCAAATTATTCACAGCCCTCTGCTCTGTGAGATACTTTGATAAGTTTTGCACACCCAAGAAGGTTGCAGGACTGTTCCTGAGCTCTAACTTTGCAGTGACTGCTTGATTAGTGATTTGTTTTTAAAAGGAAATCTGTGGCAATTCGGAAACGTGTACACCGAAGTTAATGGTTACACATCAGTATGATTACTTTTGAGGTATCATTTTGTTGTTCGTCATGATTGCTTAGTACCCAATCACAAGGTGTTTTTGGCGATTGCATTTAGAGCCCGAACTTTGCCCACATCTGCCACTTTCAGGCCGTACTCTGGTGCTGAGAAAGAAGCGCCCATCATCACACTGGTGTTCCTGCACATGAAAATAAGTGTTAGACGGATTTGAACTAAAAAAAAAAAAAGGTTTTCTTGTTTGAAGCTGCGAGAGATCTCTTCATGAATGGAAGCATGGAAATAAAAGATCCCAAACTGAATGAAACTGGGTTTAAACAAACCTGAACTTCATTGCAGAGTCTTTACTGGAGCGGGCTGAACAGTGAAACTCTTGAGCACCTGAACCCTCTAAAATTCTCTGCAGGTTCCTTTCTGTGATGCCCCCTCCTGTTATAATAATAATAATTTAAAAAAACAATGAATAAACAACCAAGAAAACACACAAATAAATGACTTGCAGGAGGAGACGTGAAGGTTCTCACCTGGCATTATGGCAATTCTCCCTTTGGCCTGTTAAGTGGGAATCACAATGTCAGAAAGGTAAAAAGGAAGAGAGGTTGCCTAACAATGATGTAGCAGCACTGATAAACAGCCATTTTTATATGTTCTAAAGCAAACATGTATAGTTCCATACATACTTGATCAATGAGCCGTTTAATGAGAGGTAGTCCCTCCAAAGCGGAGCTGTCACAGCCGCTCGTCAACAGACGGTGGAATCCTAATGATATCAGAGCCTCCAGAGCAATTGCCGGGTCGTGAACCATGTCAAAAGCTGTAGCAGGATCAATATTAGTGCCATAGCATGAGCTCACACTTAGCTAATTATCATAAAGCCCGAGAAGCATTAATGAAACCACTGTAAAGGGCTTTAATTCCACTGAGGATTTCTGATATTTTCTTAATAGTGATTGCAAGCGGCTGCAAAAGGTTTTTAAAGGTTAACGTTTACATGCGATTTACAGCAGAAAATGTTACCTCGATGGAAGGTGACAGGCAAAGGACGGGCAGCAGCTAGTGAGCAAAAAGTGAAAAAAAAAAAAAGAATATATAATTGAACAAAATTACAAAGTAGTGTGCATATGCAATGTTGTAAGAGAAAGAAAGCAGTCCGCAAAAACTCTGTTTAAACCTGCAGTACCAGATCTGTGACATAATGTTGTCTTTTACCTCTTAGAATATTGAATGCTCCACATAATAAAATATAACAACAGCTTTTAGGAACAGAAAGCACTTAACCAGCTGGCAACCATATAATTTAAGATCTGAAGACCTTTCAAGTAAATCATCATTTCCTGCAACGAAATATTTTATTTAAAGAATTATTTAATTAATTAAATGGCATGTAAAATGATCGTTTATGCTGCTGTGAAGCATGGCGTTAAAAACACCCCGAGGTGGTCACAGTGAAGGAGACGGCAGGAGCCACATCTTGACATGCACAGATTACAACAGAAAGGTTATGGAGCCGTTTGGTTCAATTGTCAGTAAAAAGATGATCAAAAATAGGAAATCTGGTGTCCAATTGCTACAACTGAATGCTTTGATCTATGGAATATAAAAATCAAGCAAAAATTATTAACGGATTTCATTCTAAGAAACAATGGCATTTAGTATAAATAAAAGAACATAACAACCGAGTTGGTTTTCATTATTATAGAGCAAACTATGGATGAGAATTAGCCCTTTTAAACACAGAGTTCCCAAAGCCTACATGTTCAAAATTAATCAGACTAAAACAAAAAAAAAAAAAAAAAAGATTGTGCTTAATATTTTAGCGAAAATCTTTTGCAGTCACTGACATCCTGAAGTCTTAGACCTGTACACATCAGGTGATGCTTTGTTCCCTGTTGATGGTCCTGCACTGCAGAGACCTTAAGCTCTTGCTTCTTGTGGGGTCTTGGGGCTTTTATTCAGGTCTTCTAGCAGAATACAGCTTGGCTGAATTGAGATAAAGGGATTGCTTCTCTCAGTTTGTACAGTATACCAGAACATTCATCCTGTTGCTACTGTCAGCAGTGAACTCATCAATAAATGTCACTTATTCACTCTTCATTACTGACAGAAAACTCTACCTCAGTCTGAACAGCTATCCAGGTGTTAAAGCGGCTGTATCTTATCTTTTAATAGCATGTAAACGCAAATTAAAGCTAAGACTTAACACTCTAATGCATTATTGATTATTTAGTTTCAAAACGTAGTGGATAAACAACATCACCTCAGTCTAAGATATGTGTGTATTTAGAATCTTTGTAATGATGAACTCAAATGCCATTTTGCATTTCTTCACCCATTTCCTGAAACATTGTGACAGTGTGTAAAATGAAAATAAAAACTGAATGACATGACTTGCAAATCACTTAAACTCTGTGTTTTTCAGTACAACAAAAAGATGTCAGATTTATCTTAAATTGAAAAATCCATTTGTTTGTGCTCATTTTGAATTGGGACCACAAACACATTTCAAAAAAAGTTAGGACAGGGACATGTTTACCTCACCACTGCTGCTTTTAACAGCCCTCTAAGTGTTGTTCTAAGTGTCACTGACAAGACCCACTGGCCTACTTTGAAAAACAGTGTTTTCCTGTACCTGTTTAATTTAAGATTTCAGCTGCTTAACAGTTTGGGATCCTTTTTTATTGTACTTTTTATTTCATTATGCAGCACATGTTTTCATTGGTCGGCAGCATCCAGAATCTTATTATGCAGCCGTGCTGCTGTAACACATGCAGAATGTCATTTGGCTTTGTTATTCTAAAAAAAGCAAGGTCTGCTTCTCCCTCTCATCCTAATGACACTATACATTGCTTTAAAAAAAACTGTATATCATTTAGCATTCATGGTGTTGTCATAGGTGTCCAAAGCCTGGTGCATGAATGCACTTTCAATGGATGCTGGCTTTTGAAGTGCACAATAACGACAAGCTGAAAGGCTCCTCTTTGTGAAACCACAGGACAGTTTTCCATTTCGCCTCAGTTTATGTTATGTGAGCTTTGGCAAAGAGTTTCTTGATCTTGTTTAAAAAAAATATGTTTGTTTTTTCTTTGAATGTAGAGTTTTAACTTGTATTTGTAGATGCAGCAAGCAACTGTCTTTGCTGACATTGGTTATAAGAAGTGATGCTGAGCGCATGCAGTGATTTCCATGACAGAATTATGTCCGTTTTTAATGCAGTGTCATCTAAGGGCTGGAAGATCACGACCATTTATTAGAATTTTTTGGTCTTGTCACTTGTTCTAAGCAAATTGCCTTCACTGAATCTTTTTATGATATTATTATTACTGTCGAGGACAAAATCCCTGAATTCTTCACAACTTTGTGCTTAGAAGCGTTCAATTATTAAATAAACTGCCAAAGCTGTCTTTCACAGAGCGGTGAAAGGCTCTGCCTCTTTAGGATGCTCTATTTTTACCTAATCATGTTCCCAACCAGTTGACAATAAACCTAATTAGTTGTTCTGCCAGTTTTTTTTCATCAACATTTCACAACATCTCCAGTCTTTTGTTGCCCCGTCCCAATTTTTTTTTTTTAAGCGTGTGGCTGACATTACATGAAAAAATTATGTACTCTCTAATGTTGAAGTGGGCTGCAGGGTGGCGCAGTTGGCATGTTCTCCCCGTGCAGCGTGGGTTCTCTCCGTGTTCTCTGGCTTCCTCCCACACAGTCCAAAAACACGTTGAGGTTAATTGGTGATTGTAAATTGTCCGTAGGTGTGAATGTGAGTGTGCTTGGTTATCTGTCTCGAAGTGTAGCCCTGTGATAGACTGGCGACCTTCGCCCTAAGTCGGCTGGGATAGGCTCACGCGACCCTAGTGAGGATTAAGCGGTGTATAGATAATGTTGAAGTGATTTGCACACTCATGTTTCCTGTTTTTTTTTCTTCTTCACATTATACACAGTGTCTCAGCTTTTTTTTTGTAAATGTGTCTGTATATTGTCCTGAGAGATAAGGACAATTATTTACAAGAGATAAAATTTAGGAATCTTGATTTTTTTTTCTGTTGGCTTGCATAAAGGGAGGTAATATTTAGAAAAGTCAGATTTTAAAGAGGTTAAAGGTCCGAAGACAGAGAAGCATGTAATAGGGCATTCCTGTTATGAACACAGGATTTTTTTTTTTTTTTTTTAATAATTCGTTCATGATTTTGTGGGACTACGTATCATGAAGCGCATCCGGATTGTTGTTATTTAGTGCCATGTAAGCATACACAGACAACTATATGGACAGTAAATACCCAGTAACTCCATGCAGAGCTCTGCGTCCACTCGTCCATCCTCTGTCAAGGCTCCCAGCACTAATCCATCTGCTCCTTGGCTCTTCATTAGCTCTATATCCTTCCTCATTACCTCCACCTCCTGGTCTGAGTACAAGAAGTCACCCCCGCGAGGACGTATCATCACATAGACTGGGATTTTGACATACTGCTTCACTACCTGCAGCAGACCTGTAGGAAAACAAATAAGCGTGTCATACGTGGGATTGTATGCCTGTCTGGTCTAAAGAGATGATCAAGAGTTTCTGCAACAGATCTGTACAGAAGCGGCCTGTGCTCACCGAGACTGGGAGTGAGGCCTCCCTCCAGAAGACTAGAACACAACTCAAGTCGACCTGCACCTGTTCAGAGACAAAAGGGCTCAGACTACGCCTGGAGATGACATTTGAGATATTAAATACAAGCAGACCATGTGAGCTGAGGCTGTCTATATACATCTATATGCGTCTGAGATGAGAGGTGAAATGTATTCTAAAACCTAAAAGAGAAGTCTAGTTGTTGTGTTTCTAGGATCAGGTTGAAGAGCGTCTGAAACAGTGTGTCACTGATTGCAACCTTTTTCCTGACTTTTAAGTACAACTGCAAGTGCTTCAGGTTACCTCTGTTACAAGCAGGTCACGCTAATTTAACAGAAAAAGCACAATGCCTTGTCTACAAGTTACCGACCTCCTCGCTCAGCATTGACAGCAGACTCCACGGAGTCCACACACGCCTCCATTAAAAAGCCCTCTGCCATAGTGGCAGTGTGAACAGAGAGACAGGGACAAAAACAGATTCACTGCAAAGTTGTTAGCAAACACATTTGCGTTCACTTGGCTAACCACTCTCCCTTCTACCACAGCTACCGGTCAAATCCCCTGTCTATCGATTCGTGGACATTATCAGTCGATTACAGGCGGTTGAAAGTCAATACTTGTGGACTGACTGACTGCAGCTCCTACAGCCAGTAACTACAGTGGAACGCCGTCTTCCGGTTTGTTGGATTTCGAGCACACGCTGTGGCGACGAAAGGGGCGGTATACAAGTTACACGATATTGCCGGGCTAACGGGCGGAGTGTGACCGCCCGTGCGGGATACGCTGAAGTTCAAAACATGCATGAATCACGTGAATCTCCAGGGTCTTTATAACTTATTTTAAAAACAAAAAGAAGAACGACATTTATTTGGCATTTGACATTACTGTCGAGTATCTTGTTTTCCACCCGACAAAGGAAAAAAAAAGTCAAAATAATAACAATAAAATAAAATCTTGACGTGCACTCTATTTCTTGGACGTCAATATTGTTTTTAACAAACTTTATTAACAGCACAGGCGGTTCACAACAACACAAATAACAGGACAAAGTGTACAAGGGGGGGAAAAACAAATGTATCCATAACAACAACACAAGCAGAAATAAAAATAATACTAATTAGGAAAGCTCATATTAATAAAGAGGGTTTAATTTATGTACTTTATGATGTTGAAAAGGGTAGGAGAGATGTTATTGAGTGTCTCGCAATTTAAACTGTGTGCTCAGATGTATTTAATGCAGACATGCAAGACAGGATGTGCTGAACTGTAATAATAACCTATGTTAAGAACACTGAAAGAGAACATAATGTGAGTCAGAAAAAGGTCAGAGCCCTGTGAAGTGAACGGTCAGAGAAAGCTTTTATAAAATAGTTTTTTCTAAGCTCCACATGCATCACTGAGCAAGCATGAAAGAATGAGGTTACAAGACATATCTAGTTTCAAATCAAGTTTATTTATATATTAAAATTACTTGACTTCCTCCCACACATTCCAAACACATGTTGAGGTTAATTGGTGATTCTAAATTGTCCGTAGGTGTGAATGTGAGTGTGCTTGGTTGTCTGTCTCTAAGTGTAGCCCTGTGATCGACTGGTGACCTGTCCAGGGTGTCCCCTGCCTCCGCTCTAAGTCAGCTGGGATAGACTCCAGCCCCCCGCAACCCTAGTGAGGATTAAGCGGTTTATAGATAATGGATGGATGGATGATCAAAGTGCTGAACATGTTATCAGTGAAGCAACAACAAAAATATGAGCAAAATGCATGACAGGAAGTAGGCTTGTAAAATCAGTTTGTAAAAGAAAGTACAGAATACCAAAAACAAGGCAAAACAGGATTGCAACATGTAAGATTAAGTTCTAAAAAATAAAATAAGTTTTTAAAAAAAATGAAATTAAGAGAGACAAAATGCCATTGAAAACATGCATGTGTTGAGATTTTCCTTTTAATATCAGTGGAGGAGAAACATTTGATTGAAAGAGGAAGGCTATTCCAAAGTTTTGGGACTGCTGCTGCAAAGGCACAATCTACTCTACCTACCAGCCTCAACAGTGGAGCAGTTAACAGCAGCTGTAATGAGGATCTAAGAGGGTTTGAGGCAATGTAGGAGCAGAAAAGTTCAGAAATGTTTCCAGGCACCAACTCATATATGACTTAATAAACAAAAAAATAACTTTTATCAAAACTGTATTTGCCAAGTAGCTGGTGCAGGGATGTAAGTACACGAGTTTCTTTCCATTCTCTTTGGTATCAGTTAGGAGTCTTACTGCATCATACTGCACTGGCTGCAGATGAGGCAGTGAGGACAGGCTAATATCCAGGCACAGTGAGTTACAGTAATTTAGTCTTGAGGAAATGATTGCAGAAAATAGGCAGAACAGAGAATTGACAGGGTTTTGATGTAAACATGATATGCACTTCTTGACCGGAGGGGAAATCAGGTAGTTATTACAGAGTGGTGGGCCTATGGCGCACGTTGGTCAATATAAAAAACTGTATTTAAGGTTATGCACTACATGGTCTTATCAGATGCTCTCAAGACCAGATCAGATTGGATTATTTTTTCTCTGTGTAATGTACAATAAAACTACGAGTGAACTGAAGATCACAGACTCTGTCTTACAGTGATTTAGAATAAATCAGTGATTAGGGTAATGAGAAAATACTTCACAATAGAAGTTGTATTGCATGATGTTGAGAGAGGCATTAATGATCAGATTATATTATGTGAGAATAAGAGAGAAAATGTATAGATGGGTTAAAAACACAGGTTGGTATCAAACAGGGAAAGATTAGAGTATCAAGCATTTAGTGGAAAACAGAAAGTCAGTCCAGGCCTGTTTTCAGTTATGATAAATTATGTAGTTAGTACTGTTTCCAGGTTTAATTGTGTTTTATTGCAGATAATAAAGGGCCAGATTAACTTTAAACATTATGCAGAAAACTTAATGAGTAGAGTGTTTCACATATTTAGATAACTGGTTTGACAAGACAATTCATATTGGACAAATTGTGAAGACATTTTTTTTTTTAAAGTATAGTATTAATATTGTAAGATGTTTGGGGGGGGTCAGAGAGTGGGGAGCTAGCAGACTTTCTTTGAAAACCATAGTCTAGACTATGGTTGCATAATTTATGTGTCTGCATTGAAAATGCTACTAAAAAAGTTGGACACAATTCAATATCAGGCCTTGAGACTTTGCTGTGGTGCCACAAAAACAACAGCAGTATCTGCTTTGCAGGTGGAGAAATCAAAACAACTCAACTTATATTAAGACAAAGGACAAACTGAAAGGGCCACAAGAAGAATCATTCAGGATGTTTTAAAGCTATGTCAAGAGAAAGAAAAATTAAGGCTACAGAGCTTTGGTTGGAAAATATCAAACATAGCTCGTGAAATATAGGGATAGGTAACACAATGTTAAGGCCTGTACTGTTCTCTGTTGTCTCCACATTAGTTATTAGGAGGTAGTTGATGATCTGCACCCTTCAGAAAAGAATAAAGGGAAAAGTATAGAAAATACGAGAGACAAGTTATCAGATACATAGATTATCTCAGATTATACACCGATATCTCAAAAACAGCCAATAACAACAACATGTTTACATCCATTAGTCCAGATTCCAGTGGCTCATCAAGCAAAAGAATTACCAACAACCTGTCAGTTTTTACAGGGGAACTCTTGTCTATTCTTTGGAGCCCTAATATGGATACAAAATCAAACCAATCGAAGTCTGAATAGGTCCAGAATATGCAGTCAAAAACAAGACAGGGCATGGTGCTGGAAATAACAGGAACTAAGCTATCTAAAATAATTATGAAATTCATCTGGATTCGGCCCACACAAGATTAAAGGGAAACACAGTAGCAGGCCATTTGAACTATGTGTCTGCTTATGTTTAATAAGCATTTAAAAAAAATTGAACAACATATGCAAAAATGCAATAACAACACAATCAAAAGGTTTAAAGAGATCATAAAGTGGAAAATGCTTATGAAAAGGATCAGAGTCCGGTGATTTAACAACAAGTAAACTGTCAGAGGAAGCTTTGGTAAGATTGTTTTTGTAAGTTCCGTGTGCATCACTCAGGCAGCTTAGAAGATATTGCACAACATAGACAGAACAGAGATCGTATGAAGTTTTAATGTAGACAGTAAATCCTGACAAGACTGGAGAGTCATTCGGTAATTACAAAATGTATGATTCACACTGTGCAGTGTAAAGGGAATGTTCTACATGGTCTAATGCGTTGCTCCGGGAAACAGCTTGTTTTCTTTTTTTCTCGGTATAATAATAATGGACTGAAGATCATTCACTAATTTTCTCCTCAAATGTCTTGAATATCTATCTATCTGTCTGTCTGTCTATCTAATTCAGTGAATATGGTAGTCAGAAAATAATCTACAACACAGTAAATTATCACAATCAAAGTAGAATTTAAGAAAAAGAGATGGCAGTAGGAATAGGATAGGAAAATTAAAGGTAGGATTTACTACAGTAACCAAAACAACAAAAGAGAAGTGAGAAAAACTTGTAGATAAGATGATATTTAGCCACATTAGTCTGAACAGTAGGAAACAACATCGCTTATTTTTATCACAACATGCAGCTGATGTGTCAGAGTACGGTAACATGCTGGAAATGTAATATGGATATGTAATTGGCCAATATGTTCTCCTCCAACAGGGAAGACAGACTCAGGAACAGTTTACTTAAACTCAAGGACATGAGTGGGCATTAGAGGATCACCCTCCAGCTCAGAAGGTGGCGGTGACGCAACACAAAGCTTCCAGCCAACCGCAGTAAAAACAGTAGAAGAAGAACTGGACGTCAACGAAGAAGAAAGCTTACCAAACCAACCGGCTGACAGCCGTTAAGTAACCAGGCTCTGTGTTTTACAACAACCCTGCTGGACCACCTCACCACTGGCAGACATTAGTGCACTAACATGTTACTCTCATCGCTGCGGACGACGGTGTTTTGCGGCTGTAGGAGCAGCTCCAAAGGGTTTCAGCACAGCAGCGTGAGTACACAGGAGCTAGCTTATGTAGCTAACAGTTGCTAGCCAGTTAGATAGGCACGGGGAGGTCACACAGTGAAAGCAATGTGATTATCACACGATATGTCAGATAGTCTGCCAGGCAGTACACCTTAGTTTCGCTTTGGTGTTGTTGTTAGGGTTTGTTTAAGGTAGATAATGCTTCCTGTCTGTTCTGAGCTACAGTCACGTCCGCATGTATCAGTTAACAGATAAGTTACATCACCGACCTCCAGTCATCCCGATGTAGCTTTAACTATGATATTAGAATGAAAACAAACCTATGTAATAAAAGAACAGGTTTAATGTTTGTTTTAATAATCTAAGCGTACTCTGTATATGGATATGTTAGAATTGCCAGTAGCTAAATTTCCCGCAACACCAGAAGCATCAAACCTACCAACCAATCAGCGTGCAGCGTTGTCCTGAAGTCCTGACTCTCTAACTCACGGGTGTCGAATCCTGGTCCTCGAGGACCACAGTCCTGCATGTTTTAAATGCGTCCCTCTTCCAACACACCTGATTCAAATGATCAGGATCGTTATCAGGCTTCTGCAGAGCTTGATGATGAGCTGATCATTTGAATCAGGTGTGTTGGAAGAGGGAAGCATCTAAAACATGCAGGATTGCAGCCCTCGAGGACCAGGATTCGACACCCCTGCTCTAACTGGATATCAGATGTGGGACAAATATAGTCCAGTTTGTGACAATTCAGGCCATTTAAACTATGTGTTTAAATAGGAATTTTAAAATGCATTATCACATGTATGAATGTAATGATAACACAAAATGAGAAGGTTGAAGGAAATCACGATATTGAAAAGGGTCAGAGTTCTGTATATTATCAAGTGAACTGTTAGGGAAAGTTTGATAAATTAGTCTCTGTACGCTCCATGTGCATCATTCAACCAGCTTAAAAGAGAAGGTCAGAGCTCTGAGACTGAAGTGAAATTTCAGCCAAAGGTTGGCAACTGATGAGTTTGTTTTGTTTGTATTCTCCTTTGTATAGTTTATGGGAAGGAAAGCACACAAGAGCTGACAAAAGGAAAGTCACATAGTGTTTCATGTAAAAGCTTGCTTCACAGAGACTGATGGGGCACTCTCTGACTCTACTAGATTTTGGATCCAGGCCACATGGATTTGTTCCCATTTCAAGCTGAAATCAGGCTGTTACTTTATCTATTTTGCTGTTGAATTCTTCAGTGTAGTTAAAAACAAATCATTAGATTTAGAGCCTTTTATGTCCAACACGATTTCAATTCCTTCTCTTTTTAAAAATTTTTTTTTTATTTACAACCTCAGCGGAGTCCACAGCTACGACAATGGCTTGTGAAGAGAGGTCAGAGCACCGTCACAGTGGAGGCAGGAGCCGCCTCCACTCCAGCAGTAGCTACTGTCCCCAACGCAGCCACAAATCGCATAGTCGGTCGCTGGTTACTGGGTTGCAGTGGGCTGGTGGTTGGAGCTGTTGTCTTGGGTGGCGTCACAAGGTACAAAAAGCTTTTCAGTAATGTGTCTGTGTTGATAGAAGTTCTCCTTTTATTTAAGTGATGTTGATGGGTACTTACTGTATCGGTGCATGTGTTTCAATCAGGCTAACAGAATCTGGGCTTTCCATGGTTGACTGGCATCTGGTGAGAGAGATGAAGCCTCCTCGGTCACAAGCAGAGTGGGAGGCTGAGTTTTCTAAGTACCAGCAGTTTCCAGAATTCAAAATGTAAGGGCCGGTTTACACTGTTTACTTTATCACTTACACATTTTTAAAAACACCTCATCACCAATATTTAAAACACTAATTTGGGGCTGATTTTAAAATAGATGTACATGTCTTTTCTTTAGGATTAAACTTTTTGAAGTTTTGTCACACAATCCTTTTATTTCAACAGTGATTCTAAGCACTTGATATACAAAGGACTCTGTTTACTGAAAAACATAGGGTTTACAATTATGTAATTCAATAGAACTCTGTGTTATGTGTGTGTTTGCCTTCTAATTTAAAGATTAGTTATCTAGTGTCATTATGTTTTCCCAGTATGAACCACGATATGACTCTGCCAGAGTTTAAGTTCATCTACTACATGGAGTGGGGGCATCGTATGTGGGGCAGGCTGGTTGGACTGGCATACATCCTCCCCACCATTTACTTCTGGAGGAAAGGATACTTTACTCGCTCCATGAAGGGAAAAGTGCTGGGGCTTTGTGGATTTGTCTTCTTCCAGGTGAGGCTAGCCACAGCTGTGGAGAGGAGAGAGGGTCATAGGAAGTTAATCTTTATCTCATTCTCACCTTTTTTTTTTTCTGGCACTGCAGTTTAATTCATTTGTTATGATTGGTGTCATCAAATTCGTTGCAGCTGTGATCATGTTGTATTATTGTAAAATTCTAATTAGACATCCTGTGTGTGTCTCCTCAGGGCCTGCTGGGGTGGTACATGGTAAAAAGCGGGCTGGAGGAGAAGCCTGAGTCTTACGACATCCCTCGAGTCAGCCAGTATCGCCTAAGTGCTCATCTTGGCTCTGCCTTGTTGCTGTACTGTGCCAGTCTGTGGACAGGGCTTACTCTGATGCTGCCAGCACACAAGGTACAGCGGCAGTCTCTGGCCAACAGGTTAAATATCAGTTATCGTCTTTGTCTGCACTGAAAGCACCACAGGTTTAAACTTGTTCTGTGTGAGCAAATGTCACTTGGTTTACTAGTTGCAAGTTTCTCATGATGACATCTCTTTCACAGATGAGAGAAACCAGTCGTCTCATGCAGCTGAGGAGGTTTGCCAAGGGTACTGGTGGACTCGTCTTCCTCACCGCACTTTCAGGTACTGCTTAATCATGTGGTAAAGGTAATCTAGCATAGTGCAGTTTACTGTGCTGTGTCCTAGAAATGTTGGCAGGAAGCAGCCTGTAGCTCACCACACGTCAACATTTCTTTAAAAAAAAATGTGCCCTTTTTGGAAGAAAATATGTTAGGGACCCCTGCTGTAGAAAAACACAGTTAAAGTGTAAGCACTACTTTAGCTGATTGTGAAGATGAAAGGATGTAATCTGCGCACATTTATAATGATTTTACAAATGCTCTTACACAGGTGCTTTTGTTGCTGGTTTGGATGCCGGGCTGGTGTATAACTCTTTCCCTAAGATGGGAGAAAGATGGATTCCTGATGATCTGCTTGCCTTCTCGCCTACCCTCAAGAACTTCTTTGAAAACCCAACAACTGTACAATTTGACCACAGAATTTTAGTAAGTTACCCTGCATAAACAGAAAAATAGTTTTGGCAACATTTGAGTTTTGTTTTTTTCTTTCATCTCATTCAGTAAATTAAGAGACAGCTAAAGGTTGTGACTGTTCATCTGTATTTTTTTTTCTAGGCAATCAGTTCTCTTACTGCGATTACTGGCCTCTATCTGTTCTCAAGGAGGATGATGCTGCCCAGGAGGGCAAAGATTGCCATCAGTCTTCTTGCAGCAATGGCCTATGGACAGGTAAGCTGTCAGTCGAACACAGGAGTACGCATGTAAATAGAGTCATTGCCTTTCATTGTAACTTAACTGTGTTTTTGTGCTCTTCAGGTTGCCCTTGGTATCAGCACCCTGCTACTGTATGTCCCAACTCCACTGGCAGCAACTCACCAGTCTGGCTCTGTGGCTCTTCTCTCGTTGGCCATTTGGGTTCTGGCAGAGCTCCGCAAAATGCCCAAGTAAATGGCTAATCCATTATGGACAAATCTAATCCCAAGCAGCCACACAGCACGCCTGTAAATGTCAGCGATGACACTTTGAATGAGGAATTCAGAGAAACAAACTGCTGAATCTGAGAAATGTTCTTCATTTAACACTGGACTTTTATGTACATGCTGAAGCATATGCGATGTGCATCTTCATCACGCTATTATTAAAGCAGGAGCATTTTTTGATTGTTGTTGATTTAAACATTACAAAAATACATCAAGGCTGATGTATTTGTTTGGTTATGCCAGGAATTAAACAAAGAAATGCAAAGCTAATTAGCTAATTAGGCTAATTAAGCTAATTAGGGGTCGACCGATATGGTTCTTTCATGGTCAGTATCGATACCAATTATTAGCAGTCACGGAAACAAATAACTGATACACATTTGCACTGACAATATAAATGTTGATATAAAAATTTAGAATAGTGCAAAATCCAACACAAAGCGTTGTTGAAATGCAGTATTTTATGTTTTACATATGTAAATCATAAAATAAATAACCTTTCAGCATTTATTATTCCGTGTTGATAGGCTGTTACTAGTGATGCATAGCCAATCAGGTAACGCTGTGGGGAGGAGTTTGCTCGAGTTCAGAGTGGTGACTACAGATGGAGCCAAGGTAATCCATTTCATTAACTTATTTGGTATGAAAGTGGTTTTCAAAAAGGAACGAAAATCGGAAAAATCCTAAATATTGGATTTGATAATTGGAAAAACTTCATCAGTCGACCCCTGAAGCAAGCGTTTACTTTCTGTCTAGCTTTAATTACATTGCAATAAGATTTCCAGTGAAGAGTTTATTAAATATTTGCTTTGCAAGCAGCTGTAACTCTTACCGTTTCCATTGATGTGCACAGTTTTAACAGGTTGTTCGAAGGAAAATTTGGCTATTAAATGGTCACCTGTTGCCTTGTATCAGGACATACACTGCCTGTTGGTTGAGGCAGATTAGGCTCCTGGGATTATATGTATAATTATGTATATTTTAAATTATGAACCATTTCTTGTTGACATTGTCTTGATGAATTATAATGTAAAAAAAAAATGGAGTATTGACTGATACTTTGTATTTTATCTTGCTGAATAGAGTCTTATTTCATTAAAGACAGTTATGTACAGTGTTTAAAATTCAAACTCCAGTCCAGTTTTGCATAGTAACTGTGATTTTTATTGTCTCTGTACAAAATATACACATTTCGAATATGTAATGCAACCAGTTGATGCTAGCTAACTAGACAGTCAGTACAACGGGTTAGTAGGTTTTCATTGTTCTAGACACAGTACATGCGGGTATAGACAGGTTTTACTTGTGGTCAAGAAAATAACTTAAAAAATTGTGGGCAGGAACAATCAGAGCAAAACCGCTTTTAAATTTTTTTTTTCTAGAACATAAAAAATGCAGAACAGGAACATAAGAAATTGCAGGGTTGGAAGTGCATATTTTCATCAGGGCTTTACTTTGCCCTTACACTGTGCTCTGAGAGGAATGAGAGGTCGGGTGACTGGAAAGGTTCTGTTGGCGAGAACATTATTGCTATTCATTTGAAAGACACTACAGCCGATTTAATTACAGCGTGAGGGTCTCTCGTACGAACATCATCGTAGATTTAAGAGTAGTTCTTGTGTGAAAAGAAGGAAATGAATAAGTGGTTGCAAATTGATCTAAAGTAAGTAATTCATCAGAGCCTTGTGTGTTGATTAACAACTTTAAATTACACTTCTGTCTGGTCAGTGTGCAGAAACCACATAGCCAGTCTATATAATTATCTCTGATTGCCCCTTGTCCAACTCACTACACAGTATCTCCCCCTCTCTTCACCCACAAGTGGGCTTTAACTCTAGAGTACTTTTTAAATTTATACCTCCTCTTTGGTGTTGCAGAGAGAGGGAGAGTAAGAAATGGGGGGCACGGGATGTGGGGGCCATAGAAAAACAAAACTAATGTAATTAAACCATGTCTCTCACTAATGATGCACACACACATTCTATACCTGTTTGAAATTGAATTAGCCTTATTTAATGCAACAGGGGTTTTTTTTTTGGAGATTTTTCTTTTGAAGTGGTAGAACCTGCTACAACCACATGACGTTTCCGATTACAAGAAGTTCACAAATACGATTTGCAATCTAATAAATTCCCACTGAATGTATATTGACAGACCGTGGTATGCCGGTACCGTGTTGAGAGAAGCTGGGATGGTCAGAACAGCTCAACAACTATAGTGCAGTCCCCACATTGTGCTGTCTAATATCACACCACCGGGAATGCTAGAAAATGTACAACAGTCAATAGACAACTACTGCTAGGACTGTAATAGTTTGGAAGGCCAGGAATTATTCTACCAGAATTCAATGAATGGAGGTGGGTGTTGCCCCACTAGAATCTTACATAGGTAAGATCGATGACATCTCTTTCTGTTACACATGCACACACACATACACAAAGGGTGAGGCACCTGTGAATGACTAGGAACAGCAGACAGACGAGCAGACTTTGGAGTATCTCTGTAAATACATAATTATATATTAGTGACATCATCATGCGATATTGAAATCAGTTCCTCATGGAAAACAACACGTTTGGACCTCCATCTGTAAAAACCGGACCGCTTGGATCTCCTAGTTGTTCCCTCAGGAAGTGTCTTTCTCTCTCTCGTCCACCAGGTGGCCATAGATTCATTTCTATTTTTATGGCCGGGGCTCCAGGGAGGTGTTACCCACACGTACAGAGGCAGGTTTAGATTCATAAATCCAAATCGCAGCCATCACAGAGAAAAGGGGAAAAAGTGATCTTAGATCAAGGTTACGGGGCAACCTCTTCCCTCTGAGTTCAGCCATTTAGAGGCTGCGATAGTTCCTCTGTCAGGAATAGTAATAAATAAGAGTTCAAATAAAACAGGTGGGGTGTGTTGGGTATGCCGGCGGCTGTCAGCCCACTGCTTGCCTTCTTTCTCTGTGTCTCTGGGATAAAAACTAAGATTCGGCATGATGAGGATGGGAGTTGGGGAAACTCCATTGTTGCTTGGAGAAATGCCACTGGGCATCCAGGTAGAGGGAGAGGGCCTCTCGGTGCCCTCAGGACTCACAGCTCTCAACAGAGACACAAGCTTGCAAGTCAGAAGACGGCCACACACACACACATACACACACACATTCACAGACTCATTCTCTCTCTTCAACCCTGATTCCTTTTCACTCACACTCCCCTCCCTGGTGCCAGTGTCCTCACTGGTCCAGGTTCCTAGATGACGTTGTCAAACAGCTGCATGGACTGCATGATGTTCTCATCCTAGACAGAAACAAGGTTTGGATGAGAAGATGCTTTCATTTCTCTTTATGTGTAACTCAAATGATTCAAACTATGGAAAGTGAGGATTAAAGACACACAGTAATCAGAGTTTTTGCAGGATTTTCTTTCTTGCTGGGAGTTATTTGAGGAGATTGTTACTCAGGCTGCAACTAAAGGTTATTTTCGTCGCCTGTTAATCTATCAACTGTTTCCTCAATTGATTAGTTGCTCGATCTACAAATTGTGAGAAAATGGTGGAACATGTCAGTGTTTCCTAACTTCCAAGACAGCAATTTCAAATGTTGTTTTGTCTAAAGATGTTCTGTTTACTGTCACAGAGGAATAAAGAAATCAGAAAATATTACAATTTAAAAAGCGGAAATGAAAGAATTTTAAATGTTTTTTTTTACTTCCTTTTCTTGGCTAAAAAAAAAAAAAAAAAAAACTTAAACCGTCCACTTTCACATCCCTCCATTAAGTCTGAAGCTTCAACCAAGAGTTCTGCTTAGTATTAACAGTGAGAAACAGCTGGTCTGGGTCTGTCAGCACTTAAAAAGCTAAACAATTAACACACTGTGTCGTGTTTGTTTTATCTGAAACACAGATGCAAAATATGAACTTGTGTTTTAGCAACATGCTAAATAGTAAATATTGTTTGGCCAGGTGCACAGTTTTCCTGGAGTCACTGGAAGTCTTTCCATGATAGAGCCACACCAGCTGGTTCCCCTGACTTTCAGTCTTTATGTTACACTAAGCTAACTGTCTCCTTGTTCAGGCTGCATGGTTAATATGGTCAGAATGCAAATAAGCACATTTAAAAAAAATAAATAAAAAACTGTTCAGCGTTCCCTTTAGGAATTTGAACATCCAGTGTTCTGCCTTACTTTTTTGCATGACTCGATGAACTCCTCAATAGTGACCACTCCATCTTTATTCCGGTCCATTTTCTGAAAGAAAAATGCAATAGACAGACATTAACTTGCTGAACACCAATTATTTTCATTTACAATACAATACTTCAATCAACAATATTTCTGTGGTCCTATACAATGTTTAAATAAGGGTTTAAGAGAAAGTTTGTTAAGTTTGACCTGAAAAAAGCTTTCCACGTGTTCCCTTGGAGCATCGTCCTGCATCGTGGGGTACGTGTACTTCCCCATCATGTCATAGATGGACTTCATGATGTCCAGCATCTCCTGCAATGTGAAGGGCAAAAAGGGAAAATCGTGCTCAGGATGTAGAAGTGATGACAGATAGGTCAGTCCTACAATTTTGAACAAAGGTTTTTTTTTGCTTTGATAAAAAGACTAACTAGCATGATACATATTCTACACTTTTAATTTACTTTTGCCAGAAAAATAAGACATCAGTGATCATTTTATTCCCCTCACAGTCAAAAGGAACTTTTTTAGATCAGTGTTATATGAGATTATACACACTACCGGGTATGTTTGACACACTGACATAGGTCAGAATCCTGGTAGAAGGTTACCAAAACCTCTAAATCCTCTCAAAATTCTGATGACTCATCATTAAGAGCTGCAGCCCTGCTATAAACCCCTGACTGCAAGTAATTTAGAGCAGCCTCCGCCCTGTGTAACGTGTTTGCATGTGAGTGTTACCTCTTTGGTGATGCAGCCGTCCTTGTTCAGGTCGTAGAGGTTGAACGCCCAGTTTAGCCGGTCATTAATGGTCCCTCTCAGGATGATAGACAGGCCAAATACAAAGTCCTGACATAAAAGGAGGATGATATTCTATTTTGTTTTGGTGTTGCTTAAATCCTGACACAGTAAATGAAGTCAAATCTTTATCACAGCCACTGTAGGCAGCTATAAAGAGGTAATACATGTTTGTGTGGCTGCAGCCTTGGTGGCACAATTCAGAGAAGCACATATTTGCTTTTATCCCTCAAAAGGAGCTGATATAAGAATAGAGCTCACCTCAAAACTAACCGAGCCGTTCTTGTTAGTGTCGAAGGCTTCAAACAGGAAATGTGCATACATACTTGAATCTGCAAAGGTAGAGATTTACAGTAACCTGCGAGCCCACAAAACATGAAGCAAAGTCTTTGAACAGCTAGGATTAGCAGCATCTAAATATAGTCCAGATATAAAAATAATTTCAGATACAGCTGGAGGGAAGTGGTTTACATTTTATCAACCTAAATATCATGAAATGAAAAATTGCTTTCTGCAGTGCACATACTATAGTCCAGCCAAAAGGATTTATAATGCGTTGATTATATGTATTCATTGTGATGATAAAAAGCTGCATAGCTCTGCAGTGACATTCTATTGTTCGCACTTGTTCCTACATTTACTGAGTGAATAAATGGTGTAAATGAAAGTATTGGACCTTTTCAGTTTCAGCAGTAGGAGAACTCACCTCCCTGAGGAAAAAACTGGGAGTAAATGTTTTTAAAGTTCTCCTCGTTCACCACACCGCTTGGACACTCCTGTGATACAAAATTAAAAATTTCATTCACTGCCATCTAGTAGAGAACGCATAAATGACAATGTGGTAACTTCAACTGTTGCCATGCTGATATTGCTTTAAACTCCCCAAATGGTGAAACTACAACTAGATTTTATCTGCATCCTGTTCCTCCTGTCATCTTTAGTCAGACCTACATTCTTGAATCCCCTGTAGAGGACTTGCAGCTCCTTCTTGGTGAACTTGGTCTGCTCCTGCAGCTTGTCCATGCTTTCAGGGCGATGGCACACAGTGGATAACTCAAAGTCATCTTCCACGCTGTCTGTGAGGGACATACAAATGTTAGCCAGCAATTATCATCACTTCACCATTTTACCTCCCAGGGCAGCCTCGACCTGGCCCAGATATCATATTGAAGTTATCAAACTGATATTGAGTTCATCATAAAGTATAAGTGTTACGCAGCATACATAGAGTAAAAACAATATATATCATTTAAAGCAATATTAGACATTATTAAAGTGTTTTATTTCAGTACACAGGTTAGATCAAGCAACTCATTTTAGTGTCATCTTTTAATACACTCCAGTAATACATGTCACAAAGCAGTGCATAAAACAGTAATACGTCAATACATTGGCTGAATGTCTTAACTGTAAACTCAAGCTCAAGCACACTAGCAGAACTGGGGAGATGCCTACACAGAGGAAATGAGAAGTTTTATCATTAATGACAATGATAAAGATGTTGAAAAGTAGTAAACGCTGCCACTGACAGATGTTTCTCACCCCATTCATATTTCAACTGTATGAGTTCGTAGACCTCCAGGAGCTACAAGCTTCGACCTGACTTTAATCTGTATCAGTTGGGATCTCTGCTAAAACACACACACGCTCATACACACATAAACAGATGCCCGTGTTTCACCGCCCGAGGGCACAGCACACGCTTCAAATCACAAAATACAAAAACAGGTCTGACCCATTAGCCACAATACCAGAGGGTTTTCTAGCGTTTGTGGAGTCTGCAGGGCTGTATCTGGATTTATGTGCGGACTGGACATGTGGGTGAGCGCGTAACTGCGTCCACACAAGTGTCTGCGTGAACCTTGTCAATTTGCTAAAGAGGCTGGAAGAAGAAAGATGTATAGAGTGAAGGAGCACTTGCTTTGACTGATAGAGGGGGCAGTCGAAGGCTTGCAGCACGGCAGCAGCTTGAGGAATCGCTGCTTTATGGTTTTTTTGCTTTGGCTGGTGGAAGGATTACCTGCAATCGCCAACCATAGCACAAGGGTTAGAAACACACACACACACGCAAGTCTGTGATTTCTGTCTTTCTTTACACACATGCCCGTGAAACTAAACACACACTACATGCAATGGACAGATGCAACCACAGACGGATTCATGCTGTTTAGTCAAACTGGCGACTGCCTGCTGACTTGGCTGAGCGAAGGGAGACCACAGGTACCACTTCAAACAATAGATGTTACTGCACAACAGCAGCACAGCTTGACCCCTAGAAACACACAGTTTGCCTAATCAGACTGACTCTCATATCACAATGCCACATTCAGTACGCTGTTGGCATATCAGCAGAGAGCATCAGTTCAAAACAAACTGTTTAAAACCACAGGCCCGTTCAAAACAACGTTTTTTTTACTTCACAAAAAAAAAACAAAAAAGAACACCTCGACCAGAGCCCATCACACATACCACCATGGTACGAGTTCCTCTCAAAGCAACCAAACTTATTTTTTGATGTGTCACAGAGTGATGATTAAAATCAGATACAAGAACACATGTGCTCTCAGACACCCATGTACTTACTCTTGCCTCTTAGTTTCCATGGTAACAGTCCTTTCACCCCTTTTCGGAGGACCCCAGCAACCTGAGGGATGAAGGCCATGATGGGGTGAAAAGCAACAGAACCACAGCACTTCCTCTGGCTATCTAGCATCTGTGATGTGTCACCCTGTTTCCTCTCTGCTCTACAGACGGACTCTGGCCCCCGCTGACCTGTAGCTCTGGCATCGCTCGCAACCAGAACAGGCGGAGCATATCGTCCAGTGGATACCAGATTCATCCATTCAGCTGCCTGGCACAGGCCCAACCCTCTGCCCCAGGGTCTCTGTGAGAGTAAGTAAATTATCTTTTTTTCCATATGAACCCAGCAGCTTAGCACAACACAGAAGTGACTAATACTCTAACAGTCGGAAGTACAAAAATTAATCAGAGTCCTTCTGAAGCGAAACGCAGGAGACTAATTATGTGGTAAATAGAACCATTGTTTGCATGCACCTCATACAAATATCCTGACTCTTACCACGGTTCACCATTTCTGATTTTTAACCCACAGAAAGCTCCAAAACAGCTTCTAAATGGACCTTCAGGGGAGATTGTTTCATCTGCTTGCAACTTGTTGATATACTATTGTCAGCGTAATTTGCAGCGTAGCAATGCATCACATTTCAATGCACCTCATATGTTTTAAATAAGCAAATAACAACTACAGGTGTCAGAGAAATCCAACTTGTAAGATACAGTAGAGGGGCAGCAAACAAACATAGAAACACGAGTAAAGTCAGAATAGCTCAAAACAGCATCTACACACAATATGTAGATACTTGAAATCAGTATATTTGCGCAACAAATGCTAAGTTAGGAGACTTTCATGTAGAACTGTAAATTGTAACTTTAACTTTAACTGTTTCACTGGTTGTTGTAAAGGCTTCAACAGAACCATTAAAAACAAATGGACAAACAACGTCATGACTTCTACTGCCTAAGCTCTACATGCAACACTGAGCTTGAAATACTTGTAAGACCCACGGAAGCTGAATCTGTGAGAAACTGTCAGTAATTAGACATTTGTTGTTTTAGGACTGAGACATCTTTTCCTCTGTCCCTGTCTCACAGCAATCTCTCCATCTCTGCTGTTTCTTGCTCTGTATTTTTGTGCTTTGCTGGTGATGAATTTTCTTGCTTGTTGTGATGTCTGAGTAAATGTGCTTCAGCTGTCGTGTTATTTGGAGAAGAGATATTTGGTCTCTGAGGAATTAACCTGAATATGCACACCTATCTATCTATCTATCTATCTATCTATCTATCTATCTATCTATCTATCTATCTATCTATCTATCTATCTATCTATCTATCTATCTATCTA